GAAAAAGAAAGAAAGAAAAGGAAGGAGGGGGAGAGAGAGAAAGAAAAAGGATCCAACACCAAAGGTGGACAGTCATGCCCCACAGGGAGAGCTGTTCCCCTCTGGGACACTCAGGGTCACCTCATCCTGGCCCCTCCAGGTCAATGTGGAAACCAGAGAAGGTCCAAAATGCAGCTCCTGGAAAACTAAAGCAAAGCACATCTCGGAATGTACAGATGAATGGACGCCAGCCAGGCAGTTTTAGACAATAAATTAGTTTCTAAACTCATAGAAACAGCAGCTCTCCTAAGGTTAAGAACTCCCGCAGCTCCTGGAAGTAAGGCGGCTGAGACTGAGCGCTCCCATTGCTGAGGGCTGGAGGGAAGATGACAGCGCCCTCCCAGGGCTGCCGCAGTCAGAGAGAATCTCAGGCTGAAGAGGCCAGCGGGAGGGCGAGAGCTCCCGAGGAGGAACAGAGTTTGGAACAAGGAGAAAGATGGTGGGGGACTTCAAAGGACAGTCAAACACAAGTGTGAGTTACGGCCCACCTTGGGTTAGGGCCAGCTCAAACTGCTTCTTGTCGAACCATCTCCATCTCTCTCTTTGTTGCTGAGCCCTGGTGGATTGTGAATAGCAGCAGCAATAATCAACAACATTGCCTCTTCCTGAGTATTTGTCTGTTCCAGGCTGGGACATATGATGACTTCAGAGTCATTTCTCATTTAGTCTGCACATCAGCTCTATTTTCCTCCTTTTACATGTAAGAAAACTGATATTTAAAGAAAGTAAGCCGTTCAGTTGAGGTCACATAGCCCCAGTGGCCAGTTGGGGTTCAGATCTGTGTGAACCCAGAGTTACCTTAGTGGTGTTAGTGCTGGGCTCTGCCAGGCTTCAGTTGCCTTCTTTCTCCTCCTAGCAAGCGGGGCCTAGAGAAACTACCCCCAAGCCTGTCCAGCTCTCTGAAAAGAGATGATGTTTGTGAACGTGCCTGTCCTACTCTGTTTTCTGTCGCTACAACAGAGTTGTGAGGCAGGTGATTTATGAAAAACAGAGGTTTATTTTGGATCACAGTTCTGGAGGCCAAGAAGTCCAGGACTATGGCCCTGGCATTCACTTGGCTTCTGGTGAAAGCCTCATATTGCATCAGCTTATGGTAGAAATGGAATGAAAGCAGAAAAGTGCAGAAGAGATAAAAGGGAGCCAAACTATTATGATAGCTAAGCACTTTCTTCGAGAATGCACTAATCCAGTCATCAGGCCCCCATCCCCATGACCCAGACACCTCCCACCAGGTCCCACTTCCCACACCGACGTCTTGAGGATTTAAAGTCCCGGTGTATGAGTGTTTGGGGGACACACTCAGAGCATAGCAGTGTCCAACTATTACTATGCCCGGAATAGGGTGTATTCTTTTCCAAAACCCCTCTATAGCAGGTTACAAGGGTGCATAGACTGTTCCATATGCACAGCAGGTACTCAAAATAGGTTTGGTTTGCTTGGGATCTGGAGCAGGGTGAGGCTGGTGAGTGAGATCGTTGGACAAATGGCCAGCTACACACTTCAAGGAGCAGCAATGTACAGACATGGGGAGAAAGAGGATTCTGGCTTCCCAAGGCCCTCCCACCTGTTGTACCTAATTCCTGAGCACTGGTAGATGGCTGTAGCCACAAATCTTGCTCTCACATGCATGGGGCCCCATGGACTCACCCTTAAATATTTTTTATACAGTTAAACTGGGCTTTGAGGCAAGCCTGAGACACAAAGTGAGTTCAAGGCCAGCCTGAACTGCATAGTGAAACCCTGTCTCCAAAAGACAAACAAATGTTTTAACTTTTTAAAAAAAAATTAGGCTCAAGACTCCTCAATTACTTATGGCTATTGAACAAAATTGAAATCTACCTTTATCTAAAATTTTGATAAAGCCTTGATGTATGATTGCCCTGTTTTTAAAAGGTCACACCCTTTAAGAATGCAGGAACAGCGGGATGCTGTGATGCATATGTATGTGTAATCTTCCCAGCACTCAGGAGACTGAGGCAGGAAGATCCTGAGTTAAAGGCCAGGCTGGGCTATGCAGCAAGACAGAGATAGAAAGGGGGAGAGAGAGTAAGAGAATGAGAGAATGAGAGAGAGAGAGAGAGAAAGAGAGAGAGAGGATATGAATGTTTTGAAAGGGATACATTATAAATGCTTGAAAAACTTTTCTGAAGAAATTTCTCTTGTGTGCTTATAGCCTGACCTATTATTCTGAATGCTAACTCTTAATATGCATTCATCAGGGATATTTTTTCTTTTGTCTTTAGTGGAAAAGGCTACTATCCGGCCAGCTAAGAGCATGGACTCGCTCTGTTCAGTGCCTGTGGAAGGTGAGGCTTTATAGTTTCTGCACTGGGCACTACAACTGGGGGACCGGAGCTCACCCCACACTTGCCGGCTGTGCATCCGCAGTCACGATGGCACGCGATCACCCAGCCCCGATTTCTCCCCAGGCCTCCCCCACACTGAGGGTTTCTCATAGCTCTTGCCGTAACCTCCCTACTCTGCCTCCAGCCAGGCATCAAGAGCCTTCGTCTGTCTCCCGCCTTCTAACCACAGCCAGGAACCAGGGTTCCTTTTCATTGAAACCCGAGCCAGGTAAAATAGCAGCAGCTGCAGACTAAGTAGAGGAAGCTTGGCAGAAAGAGCCAAACACTGGTTTCTACCTCGTGGTCTTCCTCACTTACCTCGGAGTTTTTATTTATCCGTAAACCCTGTTTCGGCACCTGGGTGAGCAGTTGGTACACATTTCCTTTGTTAGAGTGGACGTGTGCGCTGCTGCACAGGCTGTAGCCAAGTCACCAGAACAACCCACAAGACATTTGTACTCACAACCCTAGCGTTAATGGCTGACTTGTCTGCACCTCTCTCTTCCTGTTAAACATCTGTTAAGCAACCAACAAGTTACAAGGCAAAGGGGTTCCCTGAATGCAAACTGTTTGAACTCTCTTACAAGGTGTGATCAAAAACTACGGTGACCTTTAAATATTAAAAAGTGATGACAGTATACATCATATTGTCACTAGTCCTTTTCAGAATACTCCCACTTGCTCCAAACAAACTTATCCCATCACTCTTGCTGCTTTCTGAAGCAGTTCCGGAATTCCTTCTCCATGAGTGTCTTTAATTACACCATCCTGGCACTTGGATGTCCTGAATCAAATCAAAATGTTTACCTTTCTTGGTCATGTTGACTTTGGGGAAGGGCCAGAAGTCACACGAAGCCAGATCCAGTGAACAAGGTGGGTGATGACACTCCACAAAGTTTTCATGAGCCTGTCTTCTGATTGGATGGCACTTAGCCACGGCATTCACTGTATTTCTAATTAAACCTCATCAAGACATTCATGAAAAAGGACTTCCAGACCTCCAGAACTACGTAAGGAAGTGGCAAGAAAAACAGGACACTATGTTCAAAGCCTGGAAGAGTATTTTGAGGGGGGAAAAGTGGCAGAGTATCTTTTACTGTAATAACTTCTTTTCTCATTTGTAACATTCACTATATGTTTTGATCCCCCCTTGTATATTTATTCTATGGCTTTCTCATCCCTTAAATACATGACATTTTTCTCTTTGATAAATGAGGTAATCTGAGACAACACAGGAAATATTTAGAACAACTTTTTAAAAATTATGTGCTGCAAACATGTACTAGTGAAAAATTTTTAAAAGCATTTCTAAACCTGTAAAATACTCAGTGCGATCCTTTTAAGCTGTCTCGATACTTTTTCAGCATTTTTCTCTCATTTATATTCATCCATTTGCTTTGGTTGTGAAGCCTCTTAGGAGAGTTCTTTAATATGCCAAGATCTGGTATCTGTGACTTACATGGATGCTGGGTGGGTTATCTGGATTCTGTCTCAGCTTCCTCATATGTTAAAGGAAATGATCACAAAGCATTTTATATATGGTGTTATGTAAGATGCTACGGAAGATGCTGCCTGGTTGCTGGCAACTTACATGTCATCTTTCAGCTTGCTTATTCCCATACAGAGGTCTCTCCTCTTTGCCTTCGCTTCTAAGTCAGTCAGAGACCTGCTCCTCGCTGCCATGCTTTCTTTCTCACAGCTAGTTAATTCACATTCCTAGTTTCTCATTCTCTGCATCAACAGGGTGAAGTAAGGGAAAATGAAGAAAAGGTCTAAGTGAGAATAGCACTGGTTTCCTTGGTGGGACATCAAACCCTGTCTGGATCTACCTGACAGAGAACACATACAACAGTAGGTTTTAAGGTTTTAAAATGAAACAAGGTTCTGTTATTTTGCTCTTTTTGTCGCCTTCACTGTGAGCAAGTGTCATTCTGTGATCTCCCATCTGTCCGTGTTTTTCGCCATCTACATTTAATACCTGGTAGGTGCTCTCCCCACAGCCGTTAAAACTCACACAGCACAACAGCAGTGGCCAAAATCTGTGCACACGAGAAAATGCTTTCTCCTTTGTCAACCCAGTGCTACCACCCGTCTGCATAGGCGGCCCCTGCGCTCATGAGAGTGCTGCACCTTCCCAGCACTCAGATGCCCCGCGCGTGCCCTTCCCGGAGGCCCGCGCCATGTGCAAGCCTCGGTCGTGACCAATGTGCCTGTTCTTTTTCACTAGGAAAGGAAACCAAAGGAAATTTCGGTCGAACAGTCACTACTGGTGGATTTTTCATTCCAGCTACGAAATTGCACTCGACCAGCACTAGCAGCTCCTGTGACCTCAGCAAGCAGGAGGGTGAATGGGGCCAGGAAGGGATGCCTGCAGGGGCCGAGGGGGGCTTTGACATGAGGGGTGACCAAAGCCAACTCCAGGGCGCTCAGGTCCGGGCCCCGCCAGAGCAGCTGAAGGTGTTCCGACCAATCGAGGATCCTGAAATTGAGCAAACGGCCCCAAAGATGCTGGGGATGTTCTACACCTCAAGCGACAGCCCTGGAAAATCTGTCTTCAGCAGCAGCCTTTTCCAGACGGAGCCCTCACCGCATCATCAGCGCAAGGCACTCAATATCTCCGAGCCCTTTGCGGTGTCCGTGCCCCTCCGAGTGTCCGCAGTGATCAGCACCAACAGCACCCCGTGCAGAACACCCCCCAAGGAGCTGCAGTCCCTCTCCAGCCTAGAAGAGTTTTCCTTCCAGGGTTCAGAGAGTGGAAGCTGGCCCGAGGAGGAGAAGACACTGGGACCTGAGACTTCTACAGGTAAAGGAAGGGGACAAGGTTTTTTCTATAGTAAGAGAGAGAAACCAGACTTGAACTTGCTTCTGAGTTTGCAAGACAGTTTAGTGAAGTGGTTAGGACTGGGGGCACCACAGCCAGACTCAGTACAAATCCAAGCTCTGCCCTTCAGCTGTATGATCTTCAGCAAGTTAACATAACCACCTTGTGCCTCTGTTTCTTAACCTGTAAAATGGAAACAATTATGTTAATAATCACACCTTTTCCATAAGTTTGCTAGGATTATTAAATTAGTTAATACATGTATAAACAGTATATGATATACAGTTAGTACTTAATAAATATTATTTTATTTGCTCATAGTAGGCAGGAGGAAAAGATTGCAGAGTGGAATGTAGAGCTACAGGGCTGGAACTGAAGATTCAGCCCTTCCAGACTCACACATCACCCTCATTTCTACCTCCTGTCTGCAGAAGAGCATGGTTAGCAATCCTAGCAATGGGATAGGGCGTCTCTCTTCTGTTTTTTTTTTTTTTTTTTTTGGTTTTTTCTCCGGTACCGGGAACTGAACTCACGACCTTGCGCTTGCCAGGCAGGCGCTTTTGCCGCTGAGCTAAATCCCCAGCCCCTCTCTTCTCCTTCTTTTACCTCATATGCAGTAAGGACTCTGACTGGCTGTGCTTGAGTCACATGTCCAGCCTTGGCCCAACCCCTGTTGCCAGGCTATAGGGTAGTAGGATGGGCCAGGCCTGAGTCTCTGGGTTGTGTCTGGAGTAATGAAGGGCTCTTTGATCACCACCCCTACCTGAGCCACCAAAAATGGAAATAGGCAGAACCCCAACAGAAAGGATGGCTGACAGTCCAATGAACACGTGTTGTTGTGAATTAGGAAGGTTTCTGTTTTAACTGATACTTGCTAACTTTTTGCAGTATCTTTGTATTTCAGTGCCTTCAGTACTTTGCTGTCAGTCATGTCCTAAGTGTTCTATGCATATTACTTCAGTTCTCCTCCCAACAATCCCATAAAGTATTGTTATCCCCACTTGCTTAGAGAGGAATATGTAAATTGCCAAAAAATTCTTAGGAAGGACGTGGTAAAAACAAGAATTATAATGCAGATTTAAAAAAAAAAACCAAATCGCCAGGCATGGTGGCACATGCCTGCAATCCCAGCACTCGGGAGGCTGAGGCAGGAGGATGCTTGTGAGTTCGAGACCAGCCTGGGCTACAAAGTGAGCTCAAGGCCAGCCTGAACTGCATAGGGAGACTGTCTCAAAAAGACAAATAACAACAACAACAAATCTACACTTGTAAGCACTCTGGCACACTCCCCTGGCATGCTCACTACAGGTTGTGGAGTTGTGGAAAGGTTGTGGAAAGACTGTTGATACTTGATCCCTTTTCCCCAGGGAGTCAGAACTAGGAGGGGAGACTGGAACTGCATTGATGTTCAGCACAGGGTCAGCTGTGGAAACCACAGGAGCCTCCTCCTGCTTTTTGGATTGAGGGAGGAAGGACTTAGGTATCTGAAGTATATGAAAGACTGAAGGAGGGAGAGGCAATGCTCCCAGGAGAGTTCCAGAAAAATTTACAGGAGGTGATATTCAGGCTGCATCTTCATAGATGGGTAGGATTTTTCTGTGCAGACAATGAGAAATGGCACTTTGGGCTGACAGGCAGCTGAACCTCGCAGAAAGTGTGTAGGGTTTGTACGTCAACTGGGCTATTGCGGATCCCAGCTTTAACACCTTTTGGCAGTGTGGCGGCGGGTGATTGTTTGCTATCTCGGAGCCTTTCTCCCATCTACAGAGCAGGGGAAGGTCCTATCTCAAAGCCCAGGGCACGGTCTGCATGAGAGAATGTCCATAAGTACCTGCCTGTGGTCTGGCTCACTGCAAATGCTCTGTAAGTATTAGCTGTCTCTTCCTCACCTTTGCCTTCGTGATGGGGCCACAGATAAGCCAAAACTCAGGGACCCTGAGTGATGTCCTGTCTGGAAAAGGGTCCTTGGACAAAGCAGGACAAGGGAAAGAGGAGGAACACAGGGCTTCCAAAAGCTTGGTTATTCTCTCCAAAACAGAGGGTGTTGGGCCCCACTCTTGTGGAGATAGCCTCCCTTCTATCTTTCTCTCTTTAAATAAGAATATCGAGTCTACATTAAAGTTGGCCTGGGAAAGACAGTAATGCAGACTCCGGCCTGCCTTCCTGCCTGTGGAGGCAGTAGGGTGAATAAGGAACCTTATGCAGCAGCCACGCAGGTCTGGGACAAGAGCTGGAGGGAGACACTCGCTGGAAGGTGCCAGGACAGCGGGGCTCTCGGCCTTCCCTCTGACGAGGTTAGGCCAACTCAGATTTCTTCTCTCCCTCCATCATCCTTCCAAATAGAGAACTTCACCTTCATTAATGAAATATTTTTCTTTCTTTATAGAACAGCAGTGGGCAAAAGAAAAAAAAATGAAGACAATTTTCCAGATTACCCTATTAAAATTTTTAGTCACTGGGGCTGGGGATTTAGCTCAGCGGCAAAAGCGCCTGCCTGGCATGTGCAAGGTCGTGAGTTCGGTACCCGGTACCAGAGAAAAACCAAAAAAAAAAAAAAAAATTTTTTTAGTCACTATGATCAAGGGAATTTTTCCACTTTGGGTCAAAATAGGTGAAATTTCAATGTGACCTGAAGGATAAGAGATATAAGTATTGCAGTTTAAGTGAAGTGGTAATGATTAGATTATCAATTGTCTCAAATTAAAGGATTAATCAGTGTCACTGTAGTAATTCATCATCTGATTTTTACCTGATTCAAGGCTGTGCCCAGCTACCCTCAGCTGGGAGATGAAAGCGTCACAAACTCCTCCTTTTGCAAAGGAAGGGAGAGATATGGGCTGGTTTAAAAGCTACAAGAACTCTGCCTCCCCTCCTAGAAATGCTCATTATTGGAAAATGAGAGTAACCATATAGTTTTATGGAAACGTGACAAATGAAAATCCACAACTGCCCTAGTAGATATTGGGAGTTGTTTCATCTTTTACTGAAGCAAACAAAAACAAATGCTTTCACAGTATTTTCTGAGCCTTGATTCATGAAGTCAAAGAATTCAGAAGTAGAACATAACTCACAATAGGGTGCTTTACATGATTTATTTAACTGCAGTGCCATACACCACCTTCCATTTGTTTTGATACATCTTTTTCCCATGGTGATTAGAGGATCTTTATGCCATTATAGATTACTTCATAAAATTTGGCCACCTGGGTATACACTTGCCCAATACCTTCACCTGTGCCTAACAGAATTGTCCTTGTCTGCGTTGGTCCCACTGGATTCAGTACCCAAACACCCAGATTCCCAGCCACGGGAAAAGAGAAGCAAGCCACGCAGCCTACACTCACAGATACAACCCCGAAATTGCACGCATCACTTCCGCACCACCCCACTGCCAGCACTTGTCTTCCACAGGTGCATCTGCCTTCAAGAGGGGATAAAAAGGGTTGTTACCAGCCGGACAGCCACATGCCCAGGTGAAACTTGGGCAGTGAGGGGGGTTCTGGATCCACGCAAAGAAGAGGCTGGATACTGAGGGACCCTCTGTCTCCAGGCTCACTCACCTCGTGCTGGGAACCCTTTCTGCAGTACCTTGGAATCGCCCACCCTATCTGTCAATCAGTGGAAATTGGTTGGAGCCCTAGGTCCTTAGCAGGCAGTTTCCAGAGATAGATACTGACTCTGTCCTGAGGAACAAACCCTGAGATGGAACCGAGAACATAGGAAAAGAGGTGGCCCAGGGATGCAGCCCACACAGGTAATAACATGACCTGTGCTGCTGCAGGGGAGAGGAAGGCTCCAAAGAGGTGGCATCAGGTGTGTCCCCAAAGGATTCCATTCAGATCCTAGGGAGGACCACAGCAGAGGCGTGCAGGCCTTGCAGGGGTGTGGTAGGAGAAGAGCCGCCCTGCGGCCAACCAGAGTGAAGAGGGCCTTGCCCGCCCTGGCAGTGAGGGAGCAAGGGAGAAGAGCAGGCTCGCCTTTAGGGCAGCCCTTCCCTCCTCCTCACACCAGAGGCTGTGTAAAGGGTCACAGTCAATGAGCAGAAGACCTGCGTGCTACAAAAAGGGATACTGGCAACTGGTACACCTAGGGAGAAGCTTAAAGTGTCTTTTAAAAATTACTGATGCATTTGCCCTTACCCCAAGGGTCTCACTTCCAAGAATTTACCCTGAATAAATAGTCGCACAAGTCCAGAGCCATGCATGAGCATGAGGGTGTTGACGGCTAGACACAACACAAAGGCCCACCTTCCCTCCCACGGCTGTGCCTCTGTGGGGGCCATTTCCCTGCTTACGGAAGGTGGGAGGCGTTGTCTCTCCAGTGTCTACCTGGTGTTTCTGGTTTTCTGCCTGAGGGTTTTCTTTCAGGCAGAATCTTACTCAGCCCTTGCTGGGGTCCCCTGAGAGGACAGAAAATCAACTGGGTCACTCTCAATCAACATGGGCCAGGAATCAGTGGATGAATGACCCAATCTCACATTCTTCCGAGGGGTGGTTGTGGGGCGTGGCCACCCAGGGATAGTCACGGTAGCTTGGGTGGCAACCAGTTCAGCAACGTACTTGGTATGACTTTCCCTCCACCTCCGTCTCACCTCCTCACTCCTCCTTCCAGTACCTCCTTCCAAAAAGCTGCCTGCTGCCCTGACCTTGTCTCAGGGTCTGCTTTGAGGGGATCCCAAAGCGGGGCACACCCTAAAGAATAACCAGTCTCCTTTTAGACTCGTAGGGCATGGACTTCAAGATCCCTTCACTGAAAAAATGCAAAATAAGTAACATATATCATATGCTATATTTTGTGTAATGAGTAGGAAATAAAACATTAGCAATGCCTATAAATATGCAAAAGTAAATGCACTAAAAAACAAATGAAAGCGATCATGTGGAAAGGACAGTGGGAATGTGGAATAGGATAGAAGCAACAAGAATGAAGGCTTAAAGAATGCCTTTTTATATAATTTTAACTTTTGAACTCTGTAAATGTTTTACACATTTGGAGATTAAATTAGCCAGGCACGGTGGCATAAACCTGTAATCGCAGCTACTCAGGAGGCTGAGGCATGAGGACCACAGGTGTAAGGCCACCTAGTGAGACCCTGTGTCGATATAAAAAAGTAAGAAGAGGCTAGGAATGCAGCTTAGTGGGTAGAGTGCTTGTCTAACATGCGCAATGCCCTGAGTTCATTCCTCAGAACCACAAAATTTTTTTTTCAGAAAATAAACCTACTAAGAATGGGTAAAAGAAAATGGCATTACAGTTAATTCCAAAGCACTGTTAATTCACACATCAAGATGCCGTCACTAGGGCTGACCAAGCTGCAGCAGGCAGGCATCGTGGTGAACACCTAGGGACTAAGTCGCCAGATTAACTAATGGCAAAGGGCAGAGTTCGTTCTTAGATCACTGACTTTTCTGAGCTCACACCATACATCATATCCCAAGCTGTGTGCTTCACCTCTTATCTACTTCATCCTCTTCTGGCCCTGCAAAGAGTATTCCCACGATGCCACTGTCCTAAGATGAAAAGATTCATTGAGAAACTAGAATTTGAAAGGAAGCTTACTTTAATGCTCTTGTAAATGATGACATTTGTTGAGGACCTGCTGTGTGCTAAGTATTGTCTGGGCATTTTGCTTAGTCTTTCTTCTGCAGCCTTTTCTTGTGCAAGGCAGAAGTGGCCTGATTTGAGGTCCGCCTCCTTCTTCCTGTGTTAGTAGGTGTTTAAGACCGGAGCTTGGTCACTTCCACTATGCCTGAATTGAGTTGATGACCCGGAGAAGCCGTCAACCATAAGATCTCTCTGCAGCTTGGTACAAAGAGCAGGTTTTTGTGGTTCTGGGCACTAAGCTTGACTTCTTAGGGCCAGAATATTTATTTGTGAAGTGAAAGGCTGGGCAGGGCAGGATTTTCTAACTTTGACACTACTGACACTTTGGGCTGGATGGTTTTTGCTGGCAGTGGTAGCGGAGGTGTCACTGGGGGGTATTTATTTAGTAGCGTCCTTGGCTTCTAAGCTGAAGATGCCAGTAGTTGCCCTTACCTCCCCCAACACGGTGACAACCAAAAATAGCTCAGACACTGCCAGTGTTCCCTGGGTGGGGAGGAGTAAAATGGTAGAGAACTGCTGGATTAGATGATCTTCCAGCTCACCCCTTCTCTGATGGTCTGGGACTCTGGGACCTGAGACCAAGACATTGTGGGGAGAAGAGGATACCGACCGTGAGGGGCAGTGAGTTGGGAGAATTCATTGCCCTTGTAAGGCAGGGCCAGGAGGCAGGGTGGCGACGGTGCTAGGAACAACCTCTGACAGTGAAGTCCTTGAACTGATCACTGCCACCCTCTTGCAGCCCCCGTTGCTAAGAATGCCACTTCTGAGGATGCCTCACCCCATCCTGATGGCCAGGTGATGGTGGGATGCAGCCAAAGTCTTTCCCTGGAGCCAGTTGCCCAACTGGAGGAGAAGAAAACCTCAGAACCTGACCTGGCCTCTCAACATTCAAGGGAATCAGAGAAGAGCACAAAACTGGAGAAGGCGGAGGAGGAGGAACAAGGGGCCGGCCTGGTGGGGGCCGCTGCTCCTCCAGAGAGCCCTGGGGCCAGAGCTGAAGCAGTGTTTCTACGTGAGATGGTAAGAAGGACTGTCTGCTCCAGCCATGTGCAGTCTTCTCTTTCCTGGGAGATCTTGGTCCAATTTAAAGTAGATTTAAAAGAATTGGTTTCTGCCAAAGGAACTTAGAGTCTCTTCTAATCAAACCTAGAATTTCTTTTTTTTTTTTTTGCAGTGAGCTTTTCAGGAGCCCAGTGATAGAAAGGAACCATCAAGTTCAAATCCCTCAGGACCAATTCAACTCTGTTTCTGACCTAGGGCCACCATAAGCCAGTGATGTTCCTTGGGCTGTAATGCCTGCTATTCAATGCCAGTAGCCACACAAAACTTGCTTGTCTTAGCCTAGGACTAATATGATGATCATCATTAGATCCTGCCCTCTTCTCCCAGACATTCTGGATGGGTGCTTGTCTAGGCTTCCTTCTAAAGTCTAGGAGATTTCCAGGGTCCACCCCTTCTTCCTGTGACTCCTGGAAACATTAAAAGACCAGGCAAGAGCTGATGGAACCTTGTCCTCTTTAGAGCTGGAATTTTCCAAGAAGGATTTTATGAGCTGCTCTTACATAAGAAGGTGTAGGGGGGTTTCCTGGGAATACCCAGGGAGGAGTCCTACTTTTGGAAGTTGATTCTGTAAGCAAGAGTATGCCAAAGGGGAAAGGGAAGCTCGTTACCTTTTAACTTGCTTCAAGAACATGTATTACAGAAGCATATGCTGGGAGTTAGGGCAGAGCTGGGGCCCCCTAGTGGCCAGGAGGACTGAAGGAGGAATCCTACAAGACATGGTTGCATTTGTAGAAAGGATGCAGAGATTTTTGTGGGGATTGCACTCTTATGGTAAGGACCAAGAATGAATGGCATTGTTCTGAGAAGCAGGTAAAGTTAGTGCTGGAAGAACTAGGCTGGACTCACAGAACAGGTAAATGCATCCACTGTTTCATTTAAAACATGTGTTAAGCCGAGTGTGGTTGTACATGGCTGTACACCCAGCACCTAGGAAGCAAAAACAGAAGGACTGCAAGTTCAAGGCCAGCCTGGGCTACATAGCCAGACTCTGTCTCAAAATAACAACAAACAACAACAACAAAGTGTGTCCAATACCCACTTTGTGCCACTATGTTGAGCACTAGGATCAGTGCAGTGGACAAGACTGTCACCATCCGTACTTCCTTAGGGCTGACAGCCTAGTAGGGAAAGGTCACTGAACAGGTACTTTCCAGGGTGCAGTGGAAGCATGGAATGTGGCGAGCATACATTATGGGAAGACCTAACACAATCAGAGGGAAGAAGAGTGTCAAAGGGCCAGGATGATTCATCGTGATTGACAACTGGATTAGTAGAGCACACTGTTGAGTATGTCTCAGTGGTTCCATGTGGTGCCTGGGAACTACATCTGGTCCCTAGCCCCTTTCTGCTCTCTCTGGCTCTCCCTCGCTCTCTTTGCTTCCTGGCTGGCTTGAGGTAAGCAGCTGCTCCTTCACCATGAAGTTCCCCCTTAGAGCAAGCCAGCTATCGCCTGAAGCCTCTAAACCGGCAGCAAAATTAAACCTCTCCTCTATTTTGTGCATGTCAGGTATTTAGTTCCAGCAACAAAAAGTTGACTAAACGACGACTTCTCTGAAGAATAGATACTTAGGTTGATAACTTGCTAAAAAAAAAAAAAAGGAATGGGGGGGGGTAAAGAACAAGATGCACCATAAGTCTCGGGTGGGAAAAAGCCTGAAATATTCATGGATGGGAACAAAGCCAGGAGAGCTGGCTGGAGAAAGTGCTGCTCCAGTAGAAGCAGGCATTACATCAGGTGGGACTGTATGGAAAGGGCTGGGGCTCAACTAAGGGCAGTGGAAAAGCCTATGATATATTCAAAATTTTGTCCTTAAAGGGTCACAGCTCTGTGCAGGAAATATCTTGGAGAAGGACAAGAGAGTGGGCAGGGATGCCAGCTAGGAGCTGCTGTGAGGGACGATGGTAGTTTAGACTACGGCAAGGGCCATGGGGGTAGAGTGGAAGGATTCAAGGGATGTTTAGGAGGTAGAATGAAGAGGCCTTGGTGAAGGATTGAGTATGAAGCAAGGATGAAGGGACAAGACAAATTCTAGGTCTTTGATTTGGCCAAATTTCTATTGTGATCCATATACTGAGATGGCAGGGAGCAGAATGGAGGGGAACTTGGAGGTCATTTAGTCATTTAAATTCATGGACGTCTTAGGGATTAATGAATGTAGATGTTGAAGAAAGGAGAGACAAGAAAAAACTTCTTACCCAGTCTAGCAGGCAAAATAATGTAGTACAGTAGAGTCAGACTGAGTAATCCAGGAGAGTTATCTGAAAGAAGTAACTTTAATAAAAATACACCAATTTCAGACTCTCTATTGAGCAGCTAGTTACTGTCTACCAGGCACCATTTGGCCTTGAGGAATTAAAGGGGAATCACCAGAAGCCCTGACTTCCAGGAGCCTATGGTGCCCTGGAGGTAAGACAAGCGTGGGAGGCACTGGAATGTGAAACAGCACGTGATTAGAGCCAGGTGAGAAGTGAGGAGAGGGTGGCAGCAGATCAGACTTCTCAGAGGGCCTGAACCACCACAGACAGAGGTGCTCCCCTGAGCTCCGTCTCCCATGGGGCCGAATTAGGCCTCCAGACAAGGAGTGAAGGAAACCGAGATTTGTTTTCCTGGCACTGGCCAGGCCTCCCTTCATTGTTTTCCTCTCTGTAACTTTAGCCTTTGTGGAGGGAAAGGGAGGAGTTGAGGACAGAGGGAAGCTAGACTTGAAGAGAAAAACAGACAGCAAACGAGCTGAAGCACGAAACACTTCAACAACTACAGAAAGAACCCCTCATATACCCCAGTCAGGCTAACAGTGGGTATCCCTGGGTAATAGGAATGCAGGATTTTGCTGGTGTTATATTTGCTTTCATTCTAATATGTACTTAAGAACTTCACATATTATGATGGTCAGATTTTTATCACTGGGATCAAATACTTGAGAAAAACAAAGGAGCAAAGATTTATTTTGATTCACAGTTGCAGAGGGTTCAGTCCATGGTCGCTTGGCTTTGTTGCTTCTAGGTCTGTGGTAAGGCAGAAACGTCATGGCAGAAGAGTTGGGTGGAGAAGAGCTGCTCACCTCATGGCAGCCAGAAAGCAGAGAATGAGGGAAAGAGCCAGAGAGAAAAGGGCCAGGGTCAAGATACAGTCTACAAGGTCATCGTACTCACATGACATAGGGCCTTCAGTTCAACTAGGCCCCACGCCATGTCATCACCTTCTATTACAGCCATCAACTATAAACCCATCGATAGATTAACCTACACAGGGGCCCAAGCCCTCATGATCCAGTCACTCCCAAAAGCCCATCCTCTGAACACATGAGCATTTAGGGAATACCTTACATTCCAACCATAACACATACAGAATATGCATTTCTCACGCATATCTGTAATAAACAAAGGAACTACATTTATTTACTTGGAAAGCAGGACTTAGGGTAAGTGTTAACATTTTTGTTCCACTAGAACTTCATTCTTGTGTGCTTTCTAGTAAACCTGGGGTTAAATAAAATCAGAGTTTTTGTTTCTCCAATAAGGCAACATTGCACAGAGATTAAATGTTTGTGTTCTGGTATAGACAGGGCTGGATTTCAATCCTGGTTTTGTGCTATATGATTTAGGTAAATTGTTAGCTTATTTGAACCTAGGCCTCCTAATCTATAAAATGATAATAGTGTTCATCTCCTAGGGTCTTGGGAAAAGTAAACAAGATGAAAGAATTGGATATCCACAGGTGTTAGTGACACTGCATCCTTTCTTAGTGGCCCCTTCACTCTGCCTGGCAACAGGGCAAATGTCAGTGTCTAGAGTCCTTGGTTCTACGGTAATCAGTTTCATGATGTTTTTCAGGATGACGATGAACTGACCAGCCCCCTTTTCTGGCCCGAGATTCAACAGGAACTGAAAATCATCGAATCGGAAGAGGAGCTGTCCTTGTCACAGCCCCCTGCTCAGATCAGCCCAGCTCAGGCAGCTCTGGAGCCCAGCCCAGCATCCTGTCCTTCTCCAGAGGCTCCTGGGAACTTGTCTTGTGGCTCCACCCCCACTTCAGTTTCTGCCCCTCTAGAGGCATGGACTAGGGACTCAACCAATCATGACACACAGGGGGCCGCCATGGAAGTCAGTAGGGAGAAGCTAGAGCCAAACTGCAGTCTCCATAAATATAAGCAGGAGCAGGGCCTGCGCCTAGACCGCGCCAGTCTGGCTCATCTGGATATAGTTCCCCTCGATGTGTCTCCACGGGCTAGAACAGAGGTAGCAGGCCTAGGGAATCTCTCATCCTTGCTCCCGCCTGCTCCTCCCCCTCCGACTCCTCTGGAGGAGGCTCCTCAAATCCTGCAGTCAAGTGGGAGCCCTGAGAGAGAACATCCCTGCGGGAATCTGAGCATCAGTCTCTATGTAGAGCAGCTGAAGTCCACAGACAACCCTGGCATCTCCAGAGCCCATCAGGGAGACAAGGCAGCTCTGAAACAAAGTGAAGAGCAAGATTCAAAGAAAGCTGCTCCTGAGGCAAAAGGCCCTGGTGTCTCAAGCCCAACAAAGGATGAGATTTCTCCACCAGGAGAGGGAGATGGGGCCCATTCAGTACAAGAGCCTTCAGACTGTGACGAAGATGACACTGTGACAGATGTTGTTCAGCATGGCCTGGAGATGGTGGAGCCCTGGGAGGAGCCCCAGTGGGTAACCAGTCCCCTTCACTCTCCCACCCTGAAGGAAGTGCAGGAGTCCCGGATGCAGAATCCCCAGAGCCACCGACTGGAGCGGAGGCTGACCCCCAGGCCCGGCCTTCACCAGAGCCACTCCCTGGACAGCAAGAGCTCCATTTCCACCTGCCAGTGGCCTCTCCACACTCCCTCCTCTAGCAGCTGTGCTAATCTCAAAACAGAGAAGAATTTTGACTCTCTGCAGTCTCCAGCAGCCAGGAGAGAGCTGATTGGATTGGATGAGAAAGCCCTGAGGCCCTTCAGAGACTTCTCTAGCTTGAAAGGAGCAGAGGTTCTTCCCAGCCAGAGAGGACCAACTGATGTACAACCCAAACCAGCAGGAACCAGCCCTGTCAGTCTGGCAGAGAGAAAGGAGTTGGGGCTACACTTGGGACACAGCAACCCAGAGGTTAAGCAAGGTGATGTTGCTGGGTTAGACAGCAGCAAGGAGGAGTCCCCCGCTGTGCAGAGCAGCACCTCATCCATAGAGCACCCCCCACAGTTACAGCAGAAGAACCCTGACTGTGGGCCTTCCAAAGGGAAAAACAGGCCTTCTTCCCTCAACTTGGACTCTGCTGTTCCTATTGCCGATCTCTTCCGCCTTGGGAATGGGGCCTCATTTAGTTCACCTGGAATGCAGCTCTCTGAGCCGGAAGACCCCAAGGTCACCTGGATGACCTCATCTCACTGCAAAGCAGACCCCTGGAGGGTTTGCTCCCAGGACACCCAGGACCTGGACGTGATTGCTCATGCTGTGACAGGCCGCCGCCGTAACTCAGCTCCTGTGAGTGTGTCAGCTGTGAGAACCTCCTTCATGATCAAAATGTGTCAGGCCAAGGCAGTCCCAGTCATCACGCCCAAGATTCAATACACGCAGATCCCACAGCCTCTACCCTCTCAGAGCGCAGGGGAGAGCGGGGCTCAGCCTCTGGAGGGGACTCAAGAACCACCCAGCTCTGCTAGTGGAGCCTCTCAGAACCCTGCCAGAGATGAGTCTTCCTCTCCCCTAGACAGCCCCAGGGAGGAGAAACCAAAGCAAGACACAGGAGTCGATAAGTCCTCACAGATGGACCTCACTGCATCCTGCATGTGTGAGGACCCCTTCCCTTCTCCAGAACCGGGCTTGCCTAACCTGGTCCCCACCCAGGACGCAACGGTGCAGTGCAGAAAGCACACATCAGAGACAGAGCCATCTGGGGACAACCTGCTTTCTTCGAAACTCGAGCGGCCATCTGGAGGTTCTAAGCCTTTCCACAGGGCAAGGCCAGGAAGACCTCAGAGCCTCATCTTATTCAGTCCTCCTTTCCCCGTCATGGACCACCTGCCCCCTTCGTCCACTGTGACAGATCCCAAGGTCCTGCTGTCCCCCATCAGAAGTCCCACTCAGACAGTTTCCCCTGGCCTTCTCTGTGGGGAGTTGGCAGAAAACACATGGGTCACAGCAGAGGGGGTCACACTTAGGAATAAGATGACCATCCCTAAGAATGGCCAAAGACTAGAGACCTCAACCAGCTGTTTTTACCAGCCTCAGCGGAGATCGGTGATTCTAGATGGGAGAAGTGGGAGGCAAATAGAATGACAGCAGTGCACCTGCTGGGGTCTGCGAAATTGTCGTGATTCACCTGGACTTCATCATGGGCCAACTTGCCACTTTCCAGGAATAGGCTGTCTAAATATGGGCTTGTTTTGGCCTCTGGTTTCTTTTTAATTCAACCTTTCGACCATTCATTAATATTGCATTTGCCAGAAGAGTAGTCAAGGAAAGACCGAAAGGTGACATTTAGAGAAGTCTGTCAGCAAATGGGAAAGGTCAGGGAAGGGAGGGGAGTGGAATGCATGCCTCGAGTGAAGTTTGGGGCTTGTGAGCTGCCTGACTCCCCTAACCTCTGTTGCTGCTAGGAGCTGGCTGTGATAGTGTCCTTAGAAGGAAAGCAGAATCCTCTGCCTGTCAGACAATGTTGTGATTGAGATTTGAAAGCTTTCTCTTTACTTCGTGCTTTGTAACACTCTTCAAAGCATGTGTTCTTTTAAATCAACTTTTAATAAGCTGTATACTATCCAAAATAGAAGCAAATTTGGAAATGCAAGTGAATGTGCACTTCGCTATCACAGGAGGAGAACTTACCCGTGTGCTTCCCCTGGAGTCCCTGCAGGTCTGCCCAACAGGAATCTCTGCAGCAGCACAGAAAACGTGTCTGTACTCAAGAGCAAGCCCCGACCCTAGCACAGTCCATGAAGACTTTCTCCTCTGGCTTTCATTAACTTGAGACTCCATCTGCCACTGCACTGAACTTGCATTGATGAATCTACAATCTGGGCAGAGCGGGGCCTAAGCTGAGGATTACCTTAGTGCAGTGTTGGGATGCTTTGTGTGGGCATGCAGTAGTGAGGGGAAGGTATTTGGTTTCTTAACAAGATCAGAGCCCAGGAACTGGGTGTCCTCAGAGAAAAGCCTCACACAAAGGTGTGAGTACACTGCGTACTTACTGTGTTCAAATCGGGGATATTGGCAGAGAACACTTCTAGTTCCGCTTCATGCCTCTTCCACCCTGGGTGCAGCAGCACAGGAAGGAAGGCAGGGAAAAGCCCAGCAGAGCAGGGATCACTTTCCTTCCCATGGAGCTACCCTCCTTGAAAACAGTCTGTTCATCTTAGCCAGTGGGTTCCTTCTTTTTTGGGACCAGAAATCGAACTCAGGACCTTGCACTTGCCAGCCAGGCGCTGTGCCACTGAGCTAAATCCCTGGCCTGGTTCCTTCCTTTCTCAAGAGCAAATTTAAGGCTCTCCTGTCCCTTCTGCCAATTCCCCTCATATGCCACCCACGCCAGGCATTCAAATGTGCTCTTTACAAGCGGAAGCAATAAATGAATCTGATTTCTTTCACTTATTTACAACTTCCAGTTGTTCTCTCCTTATTAGATGGAGAGAGGACTAATATACCCACTGGCAGATTTTTGGTGCTGTCTCCAAAAAAGGCTTCATAGGGCAACTCTTGAGGGTCAAGCCTGGACAAACTCTGTTTGCAAGTTTGGCCATTGCAGGTATTTTTCTAGGGGCCCACAGTACCGCAGGCAGACCTCAAGACCAAGGCCATGCTGAGCTGGGCAGGGGCTGAGCTCAAGTTGTCTCCTCCAGTGTGAAGCTGGAAGCTGATGCTCTGCGGTAGCTCTTTCTCTCTCTGCCCTCCCTGCCCTTCTTCCCTCCCTTTCTCTGTCCCTCCTCCTCTGGTCCTTCTCTTCCCTCTCTGATAAAAAGCCTTGCGGCCTTGAGATCTTTTTCTATACCTGTGAAGCCCGCGTCTGTGGCAGGGGTAGTTGGCAGGCCAGCTGAGCACTTCTGCCTGGAGAGCGCTGAGGTGCCCAAGCACGGGGAGCAGTTAAGAGGCCCCTGGCGAGTGTCTCTGCTTTCTCACTGGGCGAACAAGACATCGGACCAACAGCCCTAGGAGGTCAGCCCACAAGAAGAGCCCCAGTACGTAACGTTTTCCCTAGGCAAGCTAGGTAAAGAAATAGAATGGTGAGGGATGAGAAAGGCCATGATCAGAGATTTCAAAAGCACCTTCCTGCCTTATCAGAAAGTGGAGCAGAGAAGTTTTATGTCAGTCTCTGTGCATTTGTGGCATGTATACTTAGATAAGGAGTATGTTCCAGTTATAATGTGAGAGGTGGGAAGAACTGCACTTTGCCAACCATCAGGATGCTGAGCCAAGAAATGGAATATTTTTTAAAAACTACTCTATGAATATTGTAAATTTTTATTTGTAACACTTATAGGACATACTTTTATTTGGGGATAGACCCTTAACATATTAACATGTAAGGAGGTGGGCATGGCGGCACAAGCCTGTAATCCCAGCACTTGGGAGGCTGAGGCAGGAGAACTGCCATGAGTTCAAGACCAGCTTGAACTACATAGGGAGAGAAGACCTTGTCTAAAAAACAACAAAACCATACTAACAAGTGACTTCACTTCTCAGGGTTGAGGAGCCTATGTGGGTCTGTAAGATGGCCACATTTCCGTAGACCCACACCTTCTGTCTACGGCATCCCCTCCTGGTGTGTAGGTCTGTGATGTCATCGTGTGGCCCAGTGACAGCTGTCTAGAGATAGTCCCTGCTCCAGGCTCTCCAAGCCCTTAACTCTAGAGGTTCTGGGAGGCCAGCTCACCTCCCAGTCCTGCTGCTCAAGTATGGCCCTCTCCTTTGATGATATTGCAGCCTGTCAGCTGTCACATATGTTCACAGACTTCCTGGGGGTTGGCTCGCCTGGCGCTGAAATTCCATTCCATGGCAAAGAAAACTCTTGTCTCTTAAATTGTTCCCCTACATGCCTTGGATTTTTTTGTTTCGTTTTGTTTTTGGTACTGGGAATCTAACTCAGGACCTTGTGCTTGCCAGGCAGGTGCTTGTGCTGTTGAGCTATATCCCCGGCCCTCCCTGCATGCCTTGGGATTACCTATTTAGCCAACCACTTGGCACTCTGAGACATGAGGCCCCTGAGAAGGGCCAGACAGGACTTAAGAGTGCTTGCTCCTCTCCAGGGCCACTGGTTGCTGGAGGATCTACCTGATGCCCCACCAAGGGCTGCAAAATAAAGCTCTCCAATGATGGGTCCTCAGAATGGGGGCAGCTAACTTTAAATGTTGATGTGAAATGCACACATAGGCTAATGTTGTCTTTCAGTATTTATGGTTGCTTAAGAAGATACTAACTCGTATTTATTTGTAAAATGGCTCTCTCGGGCCAATTTTTTTTCTTGTAAAAATGGACAAATAGAGGTTATTTGGGTTTTTTTCTGTTTCACTTGGAATATGAAGAGACCTAACCAAGAACCTTATAAAAACAGTCAGCCCTAATATTTGAGATACTGACCAAATCAAAATTCTGGAGTTTAGGGACAATAAAATTGTAAAAGTAATCACTCTCAAATATTCACCAAAAGCTTAGTAATGATGCACCAGTTACCTTAGTACTCCTAAATTTTTGAAGAGTCTAACGAAAAAGGGAAAAGGACAAGAACAAGTGAGATAGCCCATAAACAACTAGAAGCAGGGTTGAGAATCATTAATTACCAAAGAAGGAAAAAGGAGAAAAAATTAACTGGGATCTTCTTTGTTGTTGTTGCGGCTAAAATGCCCAATCTGGGCTTGAACTTGCAATCTTCCTGCTTCAGCCTCCAAGGCTCTAAGATTACAAGCATTCACTACCATGCTAGCCCCTGGCATCTTTCAAAGCAACTGTTAATACTGTTCAAGTGACCCACTGATTTTAAATAATAAAGTTAATCACAATTGCAAATCCAACTGACATACCAGTGAGATGACCAGGTGTTAAGTTTGATTTTAAAAACTGTAGTGGCAAGCAGCTGAGAACAAGTAGTTCCAAGGTTTTGTGAGACCTGATTCATTTGATTGTGAAGTTGTGTTGGACCTCTGCAAATGAACCCAATGGGATCAGACTTCCACACTGGAATTGAGCAAGATGAGAGACTTTTGTCATCAGCGAGTCAGCGAGTTAACTCGGCAGCTGATGAAGTCATAACCTGAACCGTTCACACAGCCGTTAGCCCAGGATAATGACAGCTGACTCCAACTGGGCAGTGCAGTCATTTGTCTGCCAGGCCTCATGTTCCTGCCTAAAGAGCTCCTTAAGAACAGAAGAGTCGTGGTCTGGGATTGGAATGGCAGGTCCCAGTATGTCCGATTCCCACCAGGATGAACTGGACCCACACTCCATCACTGCCTGTCCTGTCTGACAGGCCTGAGCCTTGGGGCTGAAGTGCTGCCAAGAGTATCACTTTAGGTACTTCTAGTAGGAAGGTCCTTCAGCAACACTCTTCCTAGCAAACTAAGGCCAGGAGAGGCAGTTATCTTTCCAGAGAGGGAAAGGAGAGGAAGATGCTAGACAGGTGACAGCCTGAGGTCAGTGTTGGTCTGGGTCATACAGAACGGGTCCACACAGACAGACTGGCACACTTAGTGACCCTGAGTAACATGAGCAATGCAGCGACTACTACTCTGATGGTGAAGGGGAGCGGAGTTCGCAATACGAAGCCACCAGTCCATGGCCATGTGTTTTACTGGATGAATCACAATGCTCTGCATTAACTTAATGCCATTCTACTTTCTGGCTTATAATTCTGCAAAGTAAAGCACTTTTTTCAAAAAGTCTATTAGAAAGCCACAGGATTGCAGCTGTTTTTTAAGCTCTACAAATGTTTCCAAAGATATAATCAAAATGTTTTTCTATTCATTAAAAAGTATAAATATTAAACCTATCCATAGAAACATTTAAGTGTAATTACAAAATTATTATGCTTCAAAAATGTACTCTAATAAATGATATGAAATATAATGCTTATGGTGGATCTAAATGCTATAGGACATGGGGCCACCAAAATCAATAATCAGAAGAGTAAATTATATGTCTCAGACTCCTACTTTTACTTTGCTCTGATTGATGCCATTTTTTTGGTTATTTCAAGTCTGGCAAAAATTCTGGTGATTTGTTTCAGAAAATTTTCTTCTTTTACATTAATAATTGTGAAATATTTACACCCTGTCTTACTGTCACAACCACAGTCATGTCATTCAAGACACCCATAAGTTGGTAATATTGTAATGGAAAATAGAAGAAAAAACCTACTGCTTCTGAAAACTGCACAGTTTAAGGAGTCACTAAATCCACTATGCAGACGGAACTCGGTTTTCCTAGTAATGAAATGGGTAGAGGACTGTTCCTTGGTTTGAGTGATTATGTTAACAATGCTGGGGTAGGGGCAGCGGATGCATACGTTTGTCATCCTGACATTTGTTATTTTTTTAAATGGGATTTAGGGTTCAGGAAGGACAATCATACAACATGGTTTCTAATTTGAAAACTGTAGCCATTTCCTGGATTTCAGACACATGCCTATGATCCCAGCATTTGGGAGGCAGAGGCAGGATGATCACAAGTTACAGGCCAGCCTGAACTACATAGTGAGACCCTGTCTCACAAAAAAAAATAAAAAGGAAGAAAAACTTGTGAACACCCTTCTTTTCCTGCACAAAAAGGCTGCATTCTCCCACATGACACTCACAAAGTTTTGGAACACAGTCTCCCAGTTTCTCACTTTGGCTTCTGCACACGGCTTTTTTCCATGTCATCAAAAAAACCTGATACCAAAATGTATGGGTCCAGCTATTTTAAGTTTGTGACCATGATGTAGTTACTATCTTGCTTCCTCACTCTGGCTTTGTTTGTTTGTTGTTTTGAAACCGGGTCTTTCTATGTAGCCCAGGCTAGTCTCAAACTCACTGTGTTCCTCCTGCCTCAGCCTGCTGAGCACTGGGACTGGAGGCATGTGCCACCATGCCCAGCTGATTCCCTAGTCTTTGGTACCAGGCTCCCTGTTTCCTTCTCGCTTGTACCTTCACCATCATTCCAGATAACCTATTCTTAAGGAAAGCCACCCAACAATATTGCCGTAAGTGTGTACAGCTCTTTATGTCTGCTCAGTTTTTGTTGTTCAGTTTTCCTTTGTCTGTGGATTGAATGCAGGGCCTTCACCATGAGCTACATCCTCAGCCCTTTTCATCTTTTACTTTGAGACAGGGTCTTAGTCACTACGTTGCCCAGGCTGGGCTCAAACTTATGATCCTGCTGTCAAGGCCTCCGAGATTGCAGGGACTGGAGCCATGCGCCACACCCAGTACCTCTGCTCAGCTTTCATCATCTGCTTCTAGTTACACATCAGGCTGCTCATGCCCTGAACTTCTTGATGCTCAATTCCCATTCTCCTTTCTCAAAACCGTCAGTTCCTGCTACTTTATTCCTTCTAATTATGCAAGACCACCAATGCCTGGCCCACTCCTCCTGGTAGGCAGCATCTCATCAGACTTCATCCTTCCTTAGTCTTTGTGGACCCCAAGGGGCATCCACTCACTACCCTCTCCGCCAGCAGCTAAGCCACTCCTGCTGGACACCTACCATCTAGGTCTGGGACTCAGCCCCACCCTCCCTGCTCTGCTGTGTCCCTGGGTTAAAACACAACCACACAATCATGGTATGAGGCCTTTTGATGTTTAGGGTTCACCATCTCAGAAGTGGCTCTCCCCAAACCCACAATGGCTGTTCTACTCTTAACCCCTCTGGACAGTCCTCCTCCTCAAGGATAATTACTTCTGGCTTCACAAGTTTGTATTAGGTCTGTCTTCACCTGCCACCGCCACCTGTCCTCATCCATGTACGTGTGCACCTAACCTTTCTCGTCAGAGGTGCTATCCTTTCCAAAGACTCGATCCGTCTCCCCATCCATCATGCTGCCCTATATATTCAGCCCTTCCTCCTTTGGCCTTCTGTCCCTCTGCAGATAAACACACCCAAGTCTCTTCCATCTTAAACAAGTCTCCTCAATTGTGCACCTTTACCACCTTGCTGTATCCAGGTTCTTGGAAGAGGCATGAGTGCTGTTTCTTCTAAACTCCAGTTAACTCTTCTGGACCAACTCCCACCTAACTTCCACCCTCAGTGCTCCACTAAACTTTCTCTGGCTACAGTCACCCATGAGCTGACAGCCACATCCAGTGGTCATTCCTCAGTCTCTTGACTCCCCTAGTACATGTGATAGTGCTGAGCATTCCTTTTTTGAAGCTAATTTGCCTCTTTACTTGGTCATCCATTTTCTTAGTCTTCATTTCAAAGTGTCTTTCCTCTACTTTTCCATGCTGCTGTTCATCAGAATTCTGTCTTTCCTTTCATTCCACACCTTTTCCCTTAGAGGGCTATCCAGCCTTTTGGTTTGCTTTGGCCATATTGAATGAAGAGCAATCGTCTTGGGCTGCACGTAAAATCTATACTTAATGTATACAAAGGAATACATTTTCCTCTATATACTTTATAATTTTATGAAATAGCAAGCCCAAGTTTAATAATTAAGAGACTTGCGTGTACGCTTGTAACAGTGAACTCTGCTCTTCACAGGCACATACTGTGGCAGGCTGGGTACCGTTATTAGTAACAGCCACATTTTACTTGCCAAGTCACACCAGCACACGAAACATCTGATGCATATGGGTTTCAACTAGACTGGCAGGCATGGGACGGTGGAGTTAGCGCTGTGCTGCGCCCTCTCCCACACACATCCCACTGCTGGAACTGTCTACGCCTGAGCACCGTGCCGTTGAGTCATGAGTAGCACTGCTTAGTTCCTAATAATCCTAAGCTTTCACGGTCTTGTGGGTCCTAATTACAGCTACAGCTGTCCAGGCCACACACAGCCTAGGGTCGCGTACTGGACATACTTGCTGGATGATCTTATTTAAGCCCATGGCTGCCTCCACCATCCACATATTGGTGACCCATCCTTGCCCACCTTCTCTTGCCTGGACTTTTAAATGCTTAACTGGTCTCCCTACTTTGTCACAGTGACAGTCTGTGGTCTCTAGCCACATTTTGCTGCCAATGTCATCTAAAGGTAATGGTTTTCAGACTCCAGCATTTCTCACAATCACCTGGAGAGATTATGAGAAACAGTGCTGGGCTCCATCCAGAGTTTCTGACTTAGGTTTGGAATAGAACTTAAAAATTTCCATTTCGATCAAGTTCCCAGTTAGGTGATGTTCATGCTGCTGGCCTACAGATTACATTTTCAGAACCTTAATCTGAGAATGCTTTGGGTCATAAATCTTAAAATCTTCCATTAGGGTTCTTTTAGCTACAACCCCCCTGCCTCCGAGTTCTGTCTGCTTAAGGATTACTTGGAGCTAAGTGGGGTATGTGTAATCCCAGCATCCTGGAGACTGAGGCAGGAGGCTCCGAAGTTCAAGGCCAACTTGGGCTATATAAAGAAGCTGAAGGCCAGCCTGCACTAGAGGGCAAGACCCTTTAAAAAAACCTACTTGGAGTGTTTCTATAAGTGCACATTACCACATGTGTAAGTACACTTTATTGGGCTCCAACCTCAAAATTCTTAGATCTGATTAAAGTATCCAGGGGTCACTGCTTTAAGGACATATAGCCTTCAAGATAATAATCCAAACTGTAGCAAAGTATGGTGGTGCATGCCAATAATCCCAGCTCCTTGAGAGGCTGAGGCAAGAGAATCACTAATTTGAGGTTATTCTGGGAAACATTGAGACTGTGTCTCAAAATAAAGTAAGAGTAGGGTATGTGTATCAGGAGTAGAGTACTTCCTAGTATACACAAGGACCTGGGTTTGAGTCCCAGTATTAAGAAAGAGAAAAAAAAAGTCCAGCTGGTTTATGTGCTATTCAAGTCCTTCTGTAATCTACTCCTTATCTAGCCCTCTAGCATTACCGAACCTAGTGCAAATCTGTATCTTAGATCTTTGTATATCCTGTCCCGGACTCCTTCCCCCATCTCTGCAGAAAATGCCTAATGCTCTTTCCGAATGCAGCTCATGTGCCATTTTGAAAGCCTGCCCTGACACAAGGCAGAGGTGCTCACTCCCTTCTCTGTATCACCATTAAATCTCTACACACTTCTGTTACTGAACACTCTCACAACTGATTTACTTGTCCACCTCCTGTTAATGAGCTTTGAACATCACTATCTGGCACCCAGCAGCATCTAGCACATAAAAACCCAGTAAGCAGAAACGGGAGAGGCAGCAACAGTGGTGACAGGGAGTGGAGGGAGAAGGGTTTAAGGAATACAGTATAAACATAATATCAAAAAGGATACTGAGAAACATTTTCATCATGCTCTGCCCAGCTTGGACCACCCAGACAACTGGTCAACCACCTTCTTTGCTTTTCTAATGTTTCAAGTTCACTTAGCTGATCATTTGCTGTACCTTCCTTTCCATACATTTTTAAATTTTCCCACAGGAGTTAAAAAGAGGGGGGAAGGGGCTGGGGATTTAGCTCAGTGGCACAGCACCTGCCTGGCAAGTGCAACGTTGTGAGTTTGATTCCTGGTACCGGAAAAAAAATTTTTTTAAAAATTAAAAAAAAAAAAAGAGGGGAGCACTTTCTTTAATGGGTGAGTAGGAGCACACTGAACTGAAAGGGCTTTTAATCCCTCGATGCTGCTGGACATAGAGGTACAAACAGGGGAGACTTTGCAATTCTAGAAGCAAAACCAGTTTTCATTCGTTACAACTATTTTTCAGCCAGCCTGGCATCTAATCCTCCTCTGTTACTCCTTTAGGATCCAGCCAAGACAGAAGCCGGGGTCATATTAGTCTGTAAGATTATTTTCTCCAACTGGTTATCTGGGCTACTTTTCTACACTACAGCCAAGCTGGGGCATCTCTGATGATATCTCTGCACCCATGCCACCCATTCTGTTCTCAGCTGTCAAGTACCTTCATCAAATTACTCGCTAGCAGAAAAGCCTATCTTCCACGCAGGAACAGTGCAACAGCAGCTTCTCTGCCTTTCTTCTCCACCTCCAGAAACAATGAGCCTGACCCACTTTAAAAAGCAACCACCCTAATACACTGGTTTTCTCGCTGTTCTTCCAGTGTATCAACTTGTTTCTACCTAGGGCCACAGCCCTTACTAATGTAACATGGAGTTCTCACCAAACTATTTATTTGGCCGTATTGTGCTTTATCTGGGCTTTGCTCAAAACTCACCTTCATACACACAAAAGTCATCTTCACAAAGATGCCTCTAACAGTAGTTTCTACCACTCTGCCTCCGGGCCCTGACACCTCTTTACTGTATTTATCACTATTAACAGTAAATAGTATATATAAACTTACTGCATGACCAGCACCACCTGTCCCTACATCACAAGCTCTGAGAGGGGAGCATCTTTGCATTTCTTATTCACTGCTATATCCCCAGTGCCCAATATAGTGCCTGGAGGTCAATATATATTTGTTGAGTGGTTGAACAGACTCACACTGACTACCAAATAATTTGACTTTTTAAAAAAGTATATGCATACAAATATTTAAGGAAGCCATGGTTAGTTTAAACTAAGTGGTCACCTTGGGTAAATATATGTATTACTGCTCAGAATTGTTTCCTCTGCTCAAAACCTTCTGGGAACTCTTCCGCAAGAATTCATAGCCAGTTTATGCACTACTTACTTTATAAGTCATGCTTTCTATCATCAAAAGCTTCACATATAAACAGCCACATCCAGCACAAAAAACATAATAATCCACTTTTGGCTCCTCAAAATAAGGCCTCAGAAGTTTAGATGACTAGTGATAATGTACTAAATACATCACTTCCTAAGAACACAGAAAGTGATAATCTAGAGGGTTAATTAAAACAAACATGAAGGTTCTAGAGTATGAAATTTCTTTACAGTATTAGGGATTGAATTCAGAGCCTTGTGCAAATGAGATAAGTGCCCTATCACAGAGCTACATTCCCAGCTTTTGCGTATGAAATTTAAAACACATTTTGAATATAGATAAACTTCCCAGAAGATAGCTGGGCACAGTGGCACATATCTGTAATCTCAGCACTTTGCAGGTTGTGGCAGAAGGATTGCCATGAGTTCATACACAGTCTACGCTACACAGTGAGCTCAAGGCCTGACATAGTGAGACCCTGTCTCAAAAAAACAAAACAAAACAAAAACCCTCTGAAGACAAAGCAGTAACTTCTTATATTTTACCCCTCATATCTCCAAACATAACACCATTATAAGTGGATTGCTACTAGACTGTACCAAGACTGTTTAGCTGTAGTCTGGGCTCATTCTTTCAATTATTTGGGGTTTTCAATCTGTCTATACTCTAGTAGCCCACATGACATTTATACTCATCTTCTCTAACAGACTTGGTTACACACGATTTCCTTCATGAGCTTCATAAATACAAGCACTATCAAGACTTTTTGCCCGTGAAAAATATTTCAAACAACTATGAGGAAAATCATTGAAAAATAAAGTAAAAGAACAGAATAAGTTACAACAAAACCTTTTGCCTCAAGATAAATGTTTTCTCAAAATTATCTTTGATTGAGGCCAGCCTTGGCTACAAAGTGAGTTTAAGGCCAGCCTAAAGTGCATAGCAAAACCTTGTCTCAAAAAGATAAAAATATCTTTGAATGTCACAGAGTAGACTAAGCCAGCTGAGACCCCATTTCAGAAAGCTTTCTTCTTAGCAGCAAAAGAGAGAAATCCACCTAGGACTTTAGCCCACTCTTTTCTGCAGTTATTCTAATACTATTAGCCAGCTGAAATAAGAGATTTTGAAAGGGCAGAAGGCAATTCCACACCTCTCTTTCTGTAGCAATAATTACTGGCCAGCTGAGCACACATGATTAGGCCATAAGAATGACTGGAAAGACAGCAAACACCAAAGGTACTGTGTCAAGGTATAAATGAATGAATGACTGCAGAGCCATACAAACAAGCAATCCTTTTACTGGAGAGATATACCTCTTCATAGGTATATTATCCAAATATACTAACACATGAAAGATCACATCACCTTGTTTACGGATACATTTAATATTCCTTAACCTTCCCAACTTTCAAAACATAATAGTATACAAAATATAAAATATCTTAAATATTATAAAAATTGCAAGAAAAAAATAGAACGTATGAAAATATTTTTATCCACGTTTTCCCTCCTTATTGAGAGGCAGCCTAGTTTACCTTGAGTTCGTAACTGTTGAGTGGGTAGGAATATGCCCTGCCTAATACTATTCTGTCCCGGAGGAGCTTAAATAAAACATAGTAGTTGCAGAAGAGGATGAGAGCCATAGAAAGTGTGTGGTTCCACTTCTCCGATCGCAGCAAGGAATAGAGCTGGTAGAAGACAACACTGCCCTCAATAAGGATAAGGAGATTTAACAGCCTTAATGGACGATGAAACAGGAACTGTAAGGAAGTTTAAAAAACAAAAACAAAAAACAAGGTTATTTCACAGAGAAGACTGAAGTTACTACTGAATTCATTTTTCTAAGATTTTTTCATATTTATAGGTTTCATATGTAATAACCAATAGCTCTGTTTATCAAATATCAATCAGACTATTTCTTGCTATACAGATCCAAACTTTTACATTTTTGCTCAAGAATAATGAAAAAACTTTACTTCAGTGTTCCTGGGACACAAAAAGGAATTATGCCCCAAAGAACACTATCTTAAAAGATTTTCTTGAGGTTGTATCTTAGGTATATACTTTATTAAAGATAAGCAAAAGTGTTATCTAAGACAAGAAGTTGGAGAAAAGAAACAAAATTTTAGGCTTTACAAGTCAATAGGCAAAAACAGACTATGAACATGTGCATGCCTGTAAATACAGCTACTTGGCTAAGGCAAGAAAGACTGCAAGCTCACAGCCAGCCAACTCTGTGAGACCCTATCTAAAAAATATGAAAATAAAAGTGCTGGGGACAGAATTCAGCGCCTCCCTGGGTTCAATCTCCAATACTGGGAGGAGGGGGAGGGGGATCATAAAGTAGGTATTTATATAACTATTTAAAATATAACCACTTAAAAATGTAAAAATCAAGCTGGACTTGGTGGGCAGGCCCATAATCCCACAACTCTAGGAGGTTGCAACAGGAGAACCACAAATTCAATTCTAGCCTGGACAACTTTGCAAGACGCTGTCTCAAAATAAAAAGGCTGGGGAATACAGCTCAGCAGTATGGTGCCTGCCTGGCAAGCACAAGGTCCTGAGTTCAATTTCAGCACCAAAAAAAAAAAAAAGTGCTGGAGATGTAGCTCAGTACAAAGCCCTGGGTTCAGTCCTCAGTACCGCAATCAATCGATGGATCTCATTCTTAGCTTGTGGAGTGATCTAACACATATAAACATCAACACTAGACAAGTCTGGAAAAGAGAAAAGTATTACACATTGAAATATCAATCCAATTAATTTTCTTAATATTCTCTGAAACTAGCTGCCCGCCCAGATCAATGACTGAAATCCTCCATGCCATATGCTTCTACTATTTTATTTTTTTCTGAGTCTTGAGAAGCAGAGTATATAGACAAGGCAAGGAGAAAGGAAAAATTAATCAGAATTAGAACTAAAATTGGGACTTCCTATTTTCACTTTCATCTAATCCTGTAAGGTGCTAAATCCTGATTAAAAAGGTGCTGTGACTAAAAAGATATAGTCACAGACTGCAAAGGAACACTATCTAATAATTTGGCTTAACTAGTTTAGTCCTAAATCTAGATGAAGACAGATTATGGTAATGTACTCCATCAGATCTAAAAAAACTAAAGATGGATTTCCAGTGTTAAAGAGTTTAAATCTAAGAATAAAGCCAAATTATCATGACAGTTTTGAACGGTACTCTAGTCTTCAGGGCCTTTCTTCAGAGGAAAAAAATCTTTAACTTGGGTTTTATTCTATGAAATCCAGCAACATCCTATATAAAAGTGGCTCAGAATGAATGCTCACACAAGGATTCAGAAAGGCTATTTCAGATTTCATGGCAAGGTCTATGTATCTAAATGTGCAGAAACCTATAAACTAAAGGAGTAGAAAGATGAGGACAGATTTTAATGTCTAACAGATACTGGTAACAGGCATACTTTAAATGAGTGTTCTCAAACTTCAGTCTGCTTGAAATCATTTCCAAATATGCAACTGCTGTAAATTCCTGGGATCCTCCAAAGATGTTCAGACATAAGTCTGGAAGAGGGGTCTAGAAACACTATTTTTAAAGATTGGGCCAGATAATTCATGTGCAGATGGCTCAAGGACCACATTAAGCACTGATTTGATCACTTGGTCATGCAAAACCAGTAATTAACTTGCCTTGTGTGTGTGGGGGCATGCCAGGAATCAAACTCAGGACCTTGGGCTTGCTGAGCTACATCCCTGGCCCCAAACAGAAAATTCTAATAAAATATCTGGCTATTATTACAAGTGTCTAGGAGACAGCAAGGACCAATGGAAGGAATTAATGGCCTAAAGAACTCAGCTTGCTAAATTAAATAAATATCTTATAGAGAAATTAAATGCTTATGTGGTTCACTCCCCCATCTTAAGGCAATCTGTTAAGAGTTGGAAGTGGGAGATGGGAATTGAGATAAGATGCTGTTGGCGCCTCATGTAAGGGCCTTCCACCTATCCCACCTTTCCAACCATGGTATTTTAAGCATCCTGTCCTGGTATCAGTTCCCAGGTCCTTAAATAACACTTGTAGAACTAGAAAGTCTATGTACTTCACAAGGAACTGGAAGGACAGAGGGAGAAAGGGATATAAATACAGTAGCTCAAAAAAAGATCCCCAGCTGGGCATGGTGGCACATGCCTGTATTTCTAGCGCTCAGAAGGGTAAGGCAGGAGGATCACTGAAAGTTCAAAGCCAGCCTGCACAACACAGCAAGACCTGGTCTCAAAAAGGAAAAAAAAAAAAAAATCCCCCAGAATGGTCTCCGGTCTCAAGCAATACACTACATTTGGACATTTTTACCAAGACTTGTCCTCTACCTGTACCCTCTCTTTTTCCTGCTCACATCAGCCAGGTAGCTACAAAGACCTCTACCTCCTGGAGCTAGAATTTCTAGAAATCTGAATGACCAAAAAGATCATACATAACTCAAAACTTAAATACAGATGGAAGAGAACCTGGATCCAGCGGGTACTTATTGCTTTTTCTTTTTTTAAATTTTAATTTTTTTCTTTTGAATCCAAGTACATAAAAGTAAAAAGCTGTGTATTGTTATCTTCAAAAAAAAAAAGTAAAAAGCTGCAGATCATGGCATTTCTGACTTCCAAGGAGGAAGTTAAGGAATTTTAAAAAGATAATAGATATGACTAGTAACAAAAAACAAAAACAAATGTCCACATTATTACTATTTAAGTATCACTTAAAGGTGCATGAACACAATGTATCTTAAGGACACCAAGAAACCAAAAGAATGTAAAACAAAACTGTAGAAGAAAAAGAAGTCTTATGTAATTGCCTACCTGTTTCAAATACTAGATTCAATAAATTCCAATGTAACCAGAGAAACCAGCTAAGCTATTAAGACTGGAATACTGGTATATGACCTTCAACTGCTAGCAATAATTACCATGCATTAACTTCCTAGTATTAGACCTTGAGTAGGTGCTCATATATTTAGTGGCCTCCTAACACTCCTAACCTTACGCTGGAAAACAAATAAGTGATACTTGCATAAAAGCGGGCATGGGATACATCTGAAGGCACTGCCACGTTGTAAGGCCCCATGGCTCTATATAAACATCTGCTGTGCCGCACCAGTACCCCTTGAGGCCATATTGTATTTTCTGACCAACTAAGGGAAAAAGAAAGGCAGTGTTAGCACATTGACAATTACAGACAAAACAGTGTCTGGCAAGGTCAGTTATATTTTAATGGAAGAGATTGTAACTTAAGGTTTCATCTGTCTGAATTCTGAAAATATAGTAATTCCACGGTCAAACTAGGAGTTAGAATGGATTTGTTATGGTAACTTCATTGCTGGAGTACAGACAGACTGCAAAGTGCTACGGTTAACGTTGGAAGAACTTAAAAGGCTTAGAAGATAAGCAGAAATATGTTTAAGTAAGGCATCTATGGGCAGAAAATAGTGTAAGCAGGCAGACTGTCATCTCCATTCCAAGTGAGCAGAGTCTACTGACAGAAATGACAGAAAAAATAAGAGGAAGCCGATGGCAATAAGAACAGAAGAGAAATTAACACTGCCAACTAGCATGGCTGTTACTGCAGAATTATATCCCCCAAAACTAAAGAATATCAGTTTGTTTATCGAACAATTCAAACACCTCACAGATGTGGGAAGCTCTACAGTAGAACACACAGACACATGAGGTACTGACACAGACTTTTCTTTTTACCGCTTTCTTGGTTTATTTCTCTAGGGAAAAGAAGTTAGGGAAGAAATAGCTTCATTCTTTCCAGCATCAATGTAATGGAGTTGGGGTGGGGATGGGGATCTTCAGGTTAAGCTTTTTTATAAAAAAAAAAAAATGATTACGTTAATTCTTTTCTTCCTGATTTTGGGAAGGTTAGTTTCCTAGGGTAAGAACTGGGACAGCAGTTTAGATATGTTAAAAATGTATATTCTAGCACCCTGAAGCTTTCCCAGTTGAGAAAATGTTCCGCCGGCCTTGCTCACACTTACCAGCATTAGGTGAAGATACACCTCATGGCCATGTGCCATCAGGAGCCTGAAGATGTACAGTACTAGCACTGTGGATTGTATTTTCAATTTTTATTGAAATCTGTCCTTGCCCACAGTCGGGTTTCTTTTCAGCCTGGCCCAATCTCTCTCAGTTCCTGGGCTTGAAGGCCTGTGCTAATCTGTATCAGACATCAAGGCAGATAATTGAAGGGAGAACTCTGAGGGGGAGAGGGGAAGGGAAGTCACCTTAATCTGTCCCACTTAATTAGGAAAAAGTTGGTAAGGGATGAAATTTATGAAATGCTCAAATTATAAAAGGGAGGAAGATGAAGATGGTCTAGGTCTGAGAAACAGGTATGATGACAGGCTCAGAAGCAACAGAAGAAAGCAGTCCTAGAATTAGCTATTTTGGATCAAAAGGGGCCATGCAGAGAAACTACTGATGGGGGAAGGAGAGAGACACTTAGAACAATTGTGATTTAAATGTGAGAAAAGCAAAGAGGGAGAGACAAGAGATTAGAGGGAAAAGGAAAAAAATTAAAAAGCAGGCAAGGAAAATTACTAGACTAAATCTGCGAATAATAGAAAAGAGAGAAGCAAATTCCAGCTGTTGTTAAGTGTGAGATGAGTAGCTAGCAACTACTTGGCTGTGGCGATGAAGATGAGAAGACAAATCGTAAAGCCTTATAAAAGAATTTTTAAAATATGACTCTCAATTTTGGCAAAGGATTAAAACTAAAAGAAAACTCCAAAGTGCAGCCTGGGACATAAATTACACTCTAGATTGATTGGGCAGCTGAAAGAAAGGTAGGATGCACTTGAGAAGGGGCTGGGAATGGTGGTGAAGATGAGTTAATGTTCCCTGTGTTCAGTTTAGCATGATGACAAGCATCCATGTAGATACAAACTAAAAAAATGTTCAAAGCCAAGAACAAGAATGACATACAAAGCAAATAAACATGACCAGCAGCATGTAGAGTGTTACGTGCTTTTACCCTCTACCTTACTCACATGTGCTGTGGAGCATTGCTGTAGGACCCGTGTTCCAGCTTCTGCCACTTTCCCAGGTGTGCAGCTGACTTATGTAGCAAATCACAGTATTTGGATGGCAGCAGTTGCGTGGTGAGCATGACAAAAGCATTGATCCACACCATGATAAGGTGCTCACATGACCAGCGCATGTCATAGTACTGGGTGCTCTGGAAGAGAACCATAAGAGAGAGAAATGACCCATGCACGTGTACACAAGAGGCAGGGATGGGTGCATGTACACATGCCCCGCAGACAGATCCACAGAGTCAACATGCACTGGTGGTCCTGCTGTCCGTGCAGAGACTTCGAGAGCAGAGTCCTCCAAAATCCTTCCACCTGACTTTCTGGCTGTATGAGTTAGGGCTAGGAGGGAGAGCAATTATATTTTAAGTGTTTCCTTTCTAGAAGAATTGAGTGCTTCTGAAGGACCACTCCGGCTGCAGAAGTGCTTCTGAATGGATGAAGGAAACACACTAAAATGTCCTAAAAGATTCTGGGCCCAAGTGACATCCAGACCATTTTTCTTTACTATTGAAATAAACTGAAGTTTAGAGAAGGTTAGATTAAATTCAAAGTAACTCTAGATAACCCTGTTAAGATCAACCACAATAGGCTGAATTTCACTGAAACCTTGGTTCTCTGAAGCTGCTACACACTGATATATTATTGTATGCACAATTTTAATTTTCCCCACAAACGTTAAAAAAAAATTAAAAAGAAAGAGAAAAAGAAAGCAAGAAGGGACCACCACGGGGTGCATCACATATATGGAAATACCTATCCGCCAACCAGGAGCGGTATTAGTGTACTCCAGATGCAGCCGAACTCCACCATCCAGGCTGCCAAAGGGGAGACAGAGAAAAGGGGGATTAAACAAGAAATACCCAGTTGATGTAATTCACACACAAATCCAGGGAGCACATCAAGTAAGGTAACAACTCACCTTCACAAAACACAAAGGGAGAAACGCAACATAGTAGGCACTGAAGAGAGAGTTGAAGAGAACTTCTTTGATTCTGTGGTTGAAATCTGCTTTCAGACACTCTACTTCATTACGAATAAGGTCTGGAGACAGGGGGCAGCTGTGAGTGGGGATGGGCGTGGCATTATTAAACTGTTCTTTTAGAGACTCCAGTAATAAGGAGAGGAAGTCTTTGGATTTGGCCAAGCCACCCACAGTTGAGGCACTTTCCTCTACAACCTGGTGCTGAACCACATAGTTATAGTCTGTGAGAAGAAGATGAGCTCTGCTATCTTGGTGGAAACAGCAGAGTGGAACATAAACACCAAACCTGTAAGACAAGGAGGATATCAAAATGAGACCACAGACAGCACTTCCAAGCACATCATGTAACTACATCAGTAAATGGTCACGACCCACCAGAGGAAACACAACCTGAGGGGACTTTGCTGATGGTAAATTTGTTATTTAGAAAGCTTTGTAATTTCCTTCAATAAAAGCAGTATGCATTCACTGTACGACAGGAAACTACACAATCACAATGATAAAATATAAATCACCTCGAACTAATAATTTTTATTACTGGGTGCACATTTTTCCAATGGATAAACTTTGTACATAGTTATATATACTTGGGCCTTATATAACATAAAATGTTTTTGTATGGTGCTCCAAATATTATTCTCACAGATTTTAAAGATATTACAGGATGCTTATATATTCACTTGTAGGTGCACCATGATTTACTCATTCCTTTCGTTAGAAACAGGTTATTTCTAATTTTCCACTAACATCAATAATACAGTAAGTATTTTCACAGCACCCATCTTTGTATAAATCTAGCAGTTTTGGGGCTGGGGATTTAGCTCAGTGGCACAGCACCTGCCTGGCAAGCACAAGGTCGTGAGTTTGATTCCCGGTACCGGAAAAAAACAAAAACAATAACAACAACAACAACAACAACAAAAAATCTAGTAGTTTTCACATGGTTTGACCTTCACTTCAAATGCCTCATCAGTGAAGACTCCCCTGCCTCCAAACTGTATCACTGATCTATTCCCCCTAACGCCCCTTTTCTGGTTATTTTTCTCTACAGACCTTACCATCCCATGTGTTTATAAGGTTGTGGGGGAAGTCCTTTTTTCTTGGCCTATCATTCCCTCATTACAAATGTAAGTTTTAGAAAGCTGAGATTTTAGTCTACTTAATTCATTGGTCAATCCTTGGTGCCTCAAACAGTGGATGAAACAGTATGCTCTTAATATTTAATGAATTAAGTGAAAAAAAATTCTGGAAATACAGTAATTTTTTTTAGAAGAATTACTGAATAGTTTTCAGACTGATAACATTGTTGGCGCTAGAGACTTAACCCAGGATTTCACATATACTAAGCATAAGCCCTATTACTGAGCTACACTCAAAGTTTCTCTCTCTCTCTCTCCCCCTCTCCCTCCCCTCTCCGTCTCTCTTCCTTTGTCCCTTCCCTTCCCTCTCTCTCCCTTCCTCCCTCCCCTTCCTTCTCTCTCCCTCCCCGCTGCCTCCATCCCTCTCTTTTTGGCTGTATTGGGGGTTGAACCCAGGGACTTCACACTGGGTTTTACTTTTTACCTTTGAAACAGGGTCTCACTAAGTCACTAAATTGCACAGGCTGAACTCAAACTTGCAATCCTTCTGCCTCAGCTTCCCACAGCAGTGGTATTATAGGTAGGCATATGCTACCACACCCAGCTTCCCTTGATAATTTCTTAGTTATTTCAACTCTTGGTTCACAGCCTTCGCTGTGGGAAAGGTGCCTTCCCCATACTGGGCTCAACAATAGGACTTGTTTTAGCCAATGACATTGGGTAGAGGGTAGAAAGCAGAGGCACTAGGCCTAGCATGGGTAACTTAGCTACTGACACCCTGCGTCAGAACAAAAAATGAAAAAGGGCTGGAGATGTACAGTAGCTCAAGGCCTTGGCTTCAATCCCCAGTATTAAAAAACACAGAAAAAAAAAAAAGAAAAGAGAAGAGAAGAGAAGAGAAGAGAAGAGAAGAAAAGAAAAGAAAAGAAAAGAAAAGAAAAGAAAAGAAAAGAAAAGAAGAAAAAGAAAAGAAAGGTACATAGGTCAGCAGACATGCTGCAATGAGAAGCTAAAAATGGGCTTGCACACTGAGGCCCACTCTTGCTATCCTGCCAATTTCATGTGACTCTGCCCAAGCTCACTGGCCACAGAATGAGAAAACATGGGAGGCACAGCTGGGTGGCCCCGCTGCCTGAACTGATGACTGCCATCAATGCGCAGGAAAGACTCCTAACTTCCAGCTGGCTCTAACATGTGCACAATAAAGACATACTGTGAGAGGCTACTGTGGACCTGTGACAGTTACACCATTACTGTGGTACCATAACTGATACAGTGTAGAATGAAGGAAAATAGAAAGGTAGCATCAAAGGCTTAGACCACAGAGGGTTTTGTAAGATAAAAGAAATGATTCATTAAAAGATTTTAAAGAGTCAGATTAAATTACCCTTTTCAAAACTCATTCTACCTACAATGAAAAACAGAACAAAGAACAAGAATGAATTATAAGATGACCATGCAAAGGTACAGAATGTAATACAGAAATTATGGAAAACAGATTCAAGATATGTTTAGGTCTAACTTTAAGAGGGTAGACTGATTCTTTTGCTGTTGTTTTTCTGAAACAGGGTCGCGCTATGTAGTTCAGGCTGGTCTTAAAACTCCCTCTGTAGTCCAGGCTGCAGTCCTCTAGCCTCAGCCTCCGAAGTGCTGGGATTACAGGCATGGGACTGGCTGGACTGTGGACTAATTTACCCTGAATTGAGAAGCTGCTTAAGAGGAAAAAAAAGAAGAGAAAGACCCTCTTTTTAAACCTATGAATAAACAGAAAGATATAGTTGTTTCCATAATCTACTATTTTGAATTTCTCATATTTAATGTTTAAAGTTTCCATAAAAGGTAGATTATATAATTTTTTAAAACTAAAGAAGGTAAATATATTTAAACCTAAAATTTGTTTAAATTACATGCTTATTTCATTGTTTTAGGAAGTGTAAAGAACCTCCAAGAAAAAATAAGCTTCTTTATATAGCTAAATGGAAATGAAAGGTTTGCTAGCAATTTTGATGATGGTAATTCTGTTTGGTGAATACAGTCGATTAAAATATTAAAATAATATTAAAATTAATTTAATTTAAAATAAAATTTAAAAAAAATTTAATTAAAATAATTAAAATATTAAAATATTCCTCACTGGAAGGAGAGTCATACATATCAGTTTCACGGACAGTCCTGACTAATGCCTGTTGTCCCAGTTAACCAAGTTTAGAAAACGAATTATACAGTCACCATATCCATTGCCTTCCAATTTTCTGAACCCTAGGCTTATGAAGCTTTCATTTTCCACTCTTTAGCAGTATCACTTACATGACCCAAATAATTTCTAAACATTTACTAATAAAATGTAAACCTGGAGTACTCACGGGTAGCCAAGGAAAAGGAGATTGAGGACTGAATGGCTTCGAAAAAGATTGACAAGGGTCCAGCAAAGCACCCATCCACACAAAGTAAGCAGCACCAAGCGCGCTGATATCAGAACCACGTAGTGAATCATGGACGCTGCACCCGCCTTAGTGGCCTGAAAGTTTGGAAGCACCAAAAGCAACATTTTATAATTGATCTTATTAAAAAAAAAAAAGTGTCTCAAAGTAAGGGCTTCGTAGGTTTAGTAGAAGCTGAACTGTGCAAAAAGAAAAAGAAAAGAAAGAAAAAAGATAAACTGCCGCAGCCCACTTATCTTGCAAAGTATTAAAAATTCAAACTTCTCCAGGCACAGTGATTTCCTTCTTATACCCTCAAAGTCCCTCACACAGACCTCTTTTAAATTCTTATCATTATCATCTAATATGTTTACACCAGGCATATGCCCCATGGACTAGTCATCACAATCACCTGGGCTGCTCACTGAACGTGTAAATTCTCAACAACTTTCTTCTCCCGAAGTAGGGAACAAAATTTTGAGTTAAGAAATCTGTATTTAGCCAGGCATGATGGTACACAGCTGTTATACCAGCACTCTGGGAGACAGGGAGGACCACAAGTTTGAGCCCAGTCTGGGTAATTTAATAACTTAGCAAGATTCTATCTCATAAAGCCAGGCATGGTGGCACACGTCTGTAATCCCAGCACTCAGAAGGCCGAGGCAGGTGGACTGCTGGAAGTTTGAGGCCAGCGTAGGCTACAAACTGAGTTCAAGGCCAGCCTAAACTGCTTTGCAGAACTCTTTCTCAAAAAGACTAAATAAGTAATTAAAATTTTAAAAAAAGAAAGAGGGCTGTAGCTCAGTGCAAACTCTCTGGGCTCAATTCCAAGTAACACAGGGAAAAAATGTATTTAAAGAACCTCCCAGGCCATTTTCATATATGTACCCATGGAGAGCCACCAATTCATCTGTCTTACTTCCCACCAGACTACAAGTGCCACGATAACATTCACAATACTTCTGTTTGTCTTTCAATTCTCCCCTCTAATCTGTCTGCTTAATTACTGTTTAATAATTACTGATATTTCATAATCATAGCTTTGGCAGATCCCTACATAAATAAAAGTTTAATTTTTGCACTCATGCAAATAATGCATAATTACTTCCAATTCTTTATTAACATAGCTGTTCAAGTATGTTCTTTAAAACCAAATTTTAAAAGTGACTGTAATGGTTGATACATTGTGTCAACTTGAGAAGTTTACAAGTTTATCTAAGTGACTCAGCAGGGGGCCAGGGTCCTCACTTTGTAAACATCCCTGCAAGAGGAGGGCAGGGAGACGGTGTGAGTGCTACACCTGAGGGTGGGTAGCCTGCTTACAATATAAGGGAGGAAAAGAGGCTCACTCTTCTACACCCTTCTGCTCTTGTTTCTTTGCTGTCTTCTGCCATCATGAACTGCTGCCCCTCTGCCATGTGCCACCCTGCTTGGGAGACAGCTGATTACAGACTGAAACCTCATAAACTATGAGCTAAATAAACCTTTCCTTCCTTAATATTGGGCATCGGGTTTTTTGTCTTAGCAATGAGACAAAAGTAACTACGACATTGACTAATTATAGAAAAAAAAAATATACTCGTCAAAACATGAAGCTTTGACTGCCACTTTCTTCTAAAATGAATTAAAAGTACATCGTCATAACTTTAGAACAGTAGTGTTTGAACCCAGAACGGGAGAAAAATTGTCTGGAGTGACAAGTCCATGTGAAAGACTAAGGAGCTTTTCAACTCCTCTTATACTTCTATCTCTTAGCTTGTACATTACATTACAGAACATATATAATATACAAGCAATATATATATATATATATATACTACAGTCATGCTCTGCATAAAAATGTTTCCATCAATGACTAATGGCATATATCACGGGGTCTTTATAGGGAGAAAAGCCAAATGTGGCAGCACCTGTTTGTAATCCTAGCACTTGGGAGGCTGAGGCAGAAGGATCACTGCAAGTTGGAGGCCTGGGCTACACAGTGAGTTCAAGGCCAGCTTAAACTACATAGCGAGACCCTGTGTCAAAAAACAAAACAAAAATTACACGGAAAGCCAAGGGCCAACAGGACATGCTTGTGGTCCCAGCTACTCAGGAGGATGAGGCAGGATGGCTTGAGGCCACGAGTCTATGGCCAGATATGGGCAACACAGCAGTGCTCCATCTCAAAAAAAGAAAAATGTATTAAGTGAAACTGAAAACATCCTATTGCCTAGTGACATAATAGCTGACATAATATTGCAGCACATAACATCACTCACGCAACTGGGGTGCTGCCAGTCATAAAAGTACAGTATATACAATTATATGCAGTATATAACACTTGATAATAATGATGCCACTAGTTTATCATTTTACTTTTTGTCTTTTTTTGAGACAGGGTTTTGCTACGTAGTTCAGGCTGGCCTTGAACTCACCGTGATCCTCCTGCCTCAGCCTCCCGATGGCTGGTACTACAGGCATGTACCACCATGCCTGACTGTTTAGCATTGAAGTATACTCCTATTTATTACAAAAAAAGTTTACTGTAAAATAGTACACCGTGTTATTCTGACAACAGCTTCGCATCTTGTGTTTACTGCATCACTCTAACTGCATCAACAGCCACCAGCATTGATGTCATCGCCCAAGCTTGTACATGCCCACCCTGATGTCCACACAAAGAGGCAATCACCTCATGATGCATTTCTCAGATCTTATCCCAGTGGCGGCAAACCTTTGAGTTTTCAAGAATACAAACAGCCCACTGAAGCACGTGTGCCATCCGTTTGCTACCACTGTCTTATGCCATCATTAAGTGATACATGATTCTGTATTTAAACACGCAAAGAAGTGGTTAAAACGAATACCACAGCGAACTGCTGAAGCCTCACAGTGACAGAAGGCTCAAGCCACTCTCAGCTGTGCACAGGAGGGCAGAACTCCACATCACCCCCAAGATATACACCTCACGCCATGTGCCCAATGTGCCTAGGCTCAGGAAGTTACTCCTGTCCCCTCATTCACACAGCTCATGCCAGAAATAAAAGAGACTGCTCTTGACCAATCCACCCAAGCAACAGAGCCTGTGCTTGTTCATTAGTTCTGCCTGCTTCCAGAACCCAAGCTCCTAACTACTGTGCTGAATGTGACAAATCTCTATCAGGTCCTGAGGACACAGTGGTAACCATAACAAGTGTTACGGTTGATTCATTGTGTTTGTGTTGATTCAAGTTTTGAAGTTTAAGTAACTCAGCAGTTCCACATCTTGGGGTATAGAGGACATGCCCTTACCACTCTAGGGTATTGTTCATTGTGTCAACTTGAGAAGTTTAACTGAGTGACTCAGCAGGGGGCCAGGGCCAGAGGAGGGCAAGGAAAAAGTGTGAGTGCTACACCCACCTGAGGGCAGGTAGCCTGCATACAATATAAGGGAGGAAAAGAGGCTTGCTCTCCCTGCTACTTCTGCTCTTGTTGCTTTGCTGTCTTCCCCATCTTGAGCTGTTGCCCCTCTGCCATGCCACTCTGCCTTGGTTGGAGGCAGCTGATGACAGACTGAAACTTCCACAAACTGTGAGCTAAATAAACCTTTTCTTCCTTAATTTTGGGTGTCAGGTATTTTGTCTAAGCAACAAGAGAAAAGTAACTAAGACACACATACTACCAGGAAAGTAAATAACAGGAAATCCGAACCTATAGCAAGCTTCTCTTACAAAGTGGTATTCAAGCTTAGATCTCAAGTATAAGCAAGAATTAGCCAGGGCAGGAGTAGAAATTACTCCTAACACTATGTTAAAAGTATACAACGTCTGGGCCAAGGATACTGCTCAGTGGCACAGTGCCTGGCTGGTAAGCCCAAGGTCCTGAGTTCAATTCCCAGGACAAAAAAAAAAAAAAAAAAATACACTGTCCCCATATATATTTAAATATATATTCTATATATAAAACCTTATATTAAGTATAACAGATATAAAAGTCTTTATACAGGAGGCTGAGCAAGGTGGACTGCAAGCATGAGCCCAGCCTGGACAACACAGTAACTTAGCAAGACTCTGTCTCAATACAAAAGGCACCAGGTATAGTAGTGCACTCCTGTAATCCCTGTACTTGGGAGGGTAAGGCAGGAAGACCTCAATGAGCCCAAGACCAGCCTGAGCTACAGAATGAGTTCAAGGATAGCTTGGACTATATAGCAAAACCCTATCTCAAAAAAATTAAAAAAAAAAAAGACTGAAAGGACTAAGACAGTATAGCTCAATACGAAGGCCCTGGCTTCAAGCCCCAGTACTAGGGAAGAAAAAAAGAAACACCCAACTATATGCTCCTAAAGACTGGAAGGAACTATAACATGGTTCATGGTTCTCAATAATGGGGCTGTAATTTGTTTCCATTTTTGCTTTACATTTTAGTGTTTCTTAGTTTTTTCAATATGCTATTTTTATGTTTAGAGAAACAAATTATTTTTGTTTTGTTCTGGTTTTTTTTGGTGTTGTTGTTGTTTTGTTTGTTTTTGAGGCAAGGTCTCACTTTGTAGCTTAGCTTGGCTTCAAATAGGTGTGCCCAACCAAGCCCAGCAGGAAAACTATTTTTTAAAGAGAGCTGCTTCAAGTTGGCGGGAAGAATAGCTGTACTTATTTGTAAGGCTTGTGGAGCAACTAGCACTGGGCAGGATATGAGTAAACAGTCTATCCAGGTGGAAAGGTAGTCCTTTTCTAATACAATTTGCTTCCTGAATTATCTCCAACCTTCCCTTAAAAATGATTGATTTTTCTCAGGATAGGGATTCTTTCCGTGATGTAAGTCAAAAAAGGGCAAATTTTAGTAGAAGGAAAGATGATTTATGATGGATTTATCCATCTTATCTAGCTATTTTAGTAAAGAACCATTACAGAGCTCTTAATTTTCAAACAGCTAATACAGTCACACCAAAGTATAAAATACTGTATATACAGCGTTTGTAGTGAGAAGCTTCCCTCCTGCTGCACCTGTCTCCCAGCCACCAACAAGCAGTCCATTATTAGTCTGAATTCCTTCTAGAAACAATTTACTCAAATCTAAGCAAATATAATCTGTTCCCACCGGCCCTGGTGGCACATACCTGTAACCTCAGCACTCAGTAAGCTGAGGCAGGAGGATCGCTTCGAGTTCAAGGCCATCTTGAACTACATAGCATTCCCTATCTCAACAAAACCACCTCCCCAACCAAAGTATATTCTGTTCTCTCCATGTATTTTATTTTAGGATTGGGGACTGAACCCAGGGAGCACTAAGCTATATCCTCAGCCCTACCTGCCCCATTTAAGACAGGGTCTTACAAATTGATCAGGCTGCCCTTAAGGTTACATTCCTCCTGCCTCAGCTTCTGAAATTCTTAGGATTACAATCAGAAAGGATTTACACACTAACAGCATTTAGTTTAAGTTGGTATACACAAGTACCATTTCCAAGTTACTGAAGTGATGGAAAAAATCATTCCCTGCCTGTTTTTACAAATGTTAACAAAAGCCTGGACTGAGTTCCTCTAAAGATAATTATTTTTCAATACATCCAAAAGTAAACATCTGTTCATCACAGAAATACTTAACCTGAGAGAAAAGTTACAGAAGCCTTTCCTACTGTGAGAACCTGACAATCTTACTACTCTTGTTTTTCAGCTAACTTCAAACAGCTTTTGGATCACAACTTAATAGATTACTCTGTGTTCACAGAAATCAGATTTCTGAAAATCAGCTTACAAAGACTTTTATATGTTTTAGAAGAAAAAAGTTACCTCTCCATTATTTGTGACTATAGTAACTATTCATTTATAATTCCACACTGATAAGGTAGGCGAAATGGGAGTTCAAAGCCAGGGTAGGCTACTTAGGGAGTTCAAGCCAGCCTCAACTAAATAGGGAAACCCTAGCTCAAAAAAGCCTAAGGAAATAAAGTACTGGCACAGAAGTTAAATTACACTTGTATTCAAATTAATTTGGACATTTCATGCTTTCAGTCTGAACTCATTCTAGTAATTAAGCCCAGCTACAAGTGACAGAATACAGTGAATGAGCAGTTACCTCTGAGATGAGAGCCCACACAAGTCTCCTTGCCAACATCACTGTGATGAACGCTGCCAGGTGATAATCAATGAGATGAAAATTCTGCAAGAGAAATAAAGATCTGCATCAGAAAGAAATCTGTGTATCTAGCTGCAACTCTACAGGAATGGAGGTCTGCCTCTCCACAGCCTCACTTCCCCTCAGCCCCTACCCCAGTCTCCTTATCCCTGCTGCTGTTTGTTAAAAAATAAAATAATTTTTTAAACATCTGTTGGTACATACCTGTAACCCTAGCACTCAGGAGGCTGAGGCAGGAATGCTATAAGTTTGAGGCCAACCTGGGCCACACAGTGAGCTCAAGGCCAATCTGAACTACAATATGAGACCCTGTCTCAAAAGACATGGAAAAAATCCAAAGCAATCTGGCCCTCAATACATTTTCCTTACATCTCTCTACCCTAATAGACCAAGGGAATCTGATAGATATTGAAGAAACTGCCTACTTTCTACTTCTCTTTTCATGACAAATCTGCCTTAGCTTTCTAATTACTATTTTAAACTATCTAGAATGTATCCCTCTCCTTTTTTAAAACTTTACTATATTAAAAGAAAAAGATTACAGTTCTGAGTTACATAACATGCTGAAGAACTGTGACAATGCCACGTTGATAATGTGTCAAATTTAATGGATCAGTTGGGATTCATAGTTTTTAGGAGTTACTGTTGTCGATCTCTATTCAAACATGTTAACCTGACCGGGCATCTACTAAATTCTCTATTAGTTGGTACATCAATTATATTGTATTGCCAGACCTAGTGGCATACTACTGTAATCCCAGCTGAGAGAGTAGGACAGCAGCAACTTTGAGGTCAGCCTACACCGACTACATAGTGAGCTCCAGGCCAGCCTAACTCTGCAGTAAAACCTTGTCTCAAAACACGAAACAGTAAGCAAGTTCAAGGCCAGCCTGCACTACACAGTGTGACCTTGTCTCTGTAAGTTAACTTAGAAATATGCATTATATTTAATCTCTTCTATAAAAACAATAGTATTACCCAGATCCCACCTATAGTTCCTTCTGTTCTAAGTCTATATACATATGATATGATGATCAACAAAATGAAATCTTTAGTTACAGTATCCTAGAACCAGTATACAGGAACCTAGTTCCTTTTGTTCTAAGTCTATATATATATGATGATCAACAAAATGAAATGTTAGTTACAGTATCCTAGAACCAACAAAACTGGGATGTATTTTTATTTTGATGGTCAGAAGTTGTGCAGGCCTCTACAATTCCTTCCAAAATAAAAAAATGAATTTCTCAATCACTGAATAAATATGTACTCAGCATCTAAAACATGCCAGATACTCTTAACATTAAGTATATACTGCCAAAGGTAACAGCCAAAATTCCTGCTTCTGGATCTTACTTTATTACACTGTGAGAGTAAAATCAAAAAGCAGAGATTATTAGTTGTTGTTCTGCCATCAGAGTGGAATTTAACTGGGGCTGATTCCTTGCTAACTAAAGGTTCATTTCCCAGCCTCCCTTGCAAAACTACCTCTAAACAAGGACAGATGAAGGATATGATTATTAAAAAGGGCTGGGAATGTAGCTCGCTGTGAAGGTCTTGGGTTCAATCCTTACTACCACAATCCTTACTTGGCTTCTTTCCATACCACCTTGAGGATTTGGTTACACACTTCTATGTCCACTAGGCTAGAAAGGTTTAAAATCTCTTTTTATAAGTTCCAAACACACTGGGACTTATAAAATCAGTCCACTTATTTTAACTTACAAAGTAAGTCCATTTAGCCATTAAAAAGGTAAACTTGACAGAATTGTTCATATCTGACACCTTACATTTATAGCAAATTTAACATGAGGTAGAGAAATTTAAATATCAAAACCTTCCTGTCACATTACAATTTATTTATGGTGGGATATGCCTACAATCCCAGCACTGTGGACAAGATCACAAATTTTAGCCCACTCTGGGCAACTTAGCAAGAACTATTTCAAAAGAAGAAATAAAAAAATAAGTCCCAAACACATATATAAATTGTTCAGGACCACAGTGCTCTTTCTTTGTCCTGGAGAATAACTATCATATACTCATCCCAATCACCCACTGCCAACTGCCCAAGCTGTTACACGACTAACCTTATATATATTTTATATAAAGAACCTCTTCTACATCAGGATAATCATGACCCTGCTAGATGGGCGGAAAGAGTAGAAGAAACCTACAATATGCTTTTATGTACCTCAGTAGAGACAGCTATTCCTATCTGAGCATTTATTTTTCTAACAGCTACATTTCTTTTCATAAAAGGACCCAACTGCATTCAGCTTAACTATGCCGCTAGCCAACAAATTATAGAATTCTCTAACCCACCTTAGGTAGCACTGCACACATGGAGATGATGGAAGCCTACTCGGGAGAAACTCTCCTTTGTATTTCCCTATGTTTTCTCCCTTTCTGGCTAACAGGAACAAACCACAGCCAGCCTGAGGCCACGTGCTGGAAGACAACAGTCTCTACCAACCTGGGCCCCCAACTGGCCACGTGGAAGAACTCTACCAACCATGACAACTACCTCAGACTGTTATGTATTAGAAGCATTACACAATTTTGGGTTAATCTGTTATATAAGCTGACTATCCCAATTCAGCCATTAAAAAGGTATACTTGATGGAATTGAATCCTATTTGACACCTTACACTTACAGCAAATTTAACACAGGATAGAGAAATTTAAATATCAAAACCTTCCTGTGATATTATAATTTATTTAAATATTTTCTGCATTTTTATTTATATATATTTTAAATAATCTTATGAGGTTTTCTTTCTCCTTTTTTGGTACCAGGAATTGAACTCAGGATCTCATGCTTACCAGGCAGGTGCTGTACTGCCGATTATCCCTGGCCCTGAGGTTTTCTTTCTGAAACTAATCTGAGGTGTAGTAGAAAAACATTTCATTAAAAGAAAAATTATTAAGAAAAATAATTTCTTTACCTAGATTATTCCAGCTAGCTTCTTGCCTAAGTGACATAAAGAACTTAAAGTCCTATGACAACTTACCAGAGAAGTACAAGACGCAGGGTGATTGTAGGGATACCACCACACAGTTTTATAGATGTTGATGTACTGAATGAACAGAGCAACCAATAGGTAGATGAAAAACAGAAATTCAAAGAGCAGGCTCCCGTCCATAGGCAAGTCAGGAATTTGGCAATGACGAACAGGACCTGGGGTGATTAAGGCTGTGATAGGTGGGACTGGAAGGCCAATAGCGCTACCATTCCTGAAAGAGAAAACTACGGTTAACTCAAATAGTGACACTCTCCAGTGTCACAGAGCACAAAGGGCCTGCTCCTCCTCCCCACCTACTCCTCAACTGTTGGCATTCCCTAAGGCTCCATTCTGGGATCCTCTTTCCTTCTCCTTCTAATCATTTTCTTGGTGATCTAAGGTACAGCTATGGCTTCCATTAGCTACTGTATCCCAAAGACTAAAGTTTCTCTGCACGGGGCTCACTGTTGAGTTTTACATCCACGTTATCTGATTGCTTACTACACATCTATGTTCCTCCTACAGTCCTGACCCTAGTTCATGGCCCATTTCTTACCTTCCCAGATCAGAAACCTAATCTAGAGCTTTTCTTCTGTCTCTTCGTATCCAATCACTCTCTAAAGAACTATATTCCACTTTGCAGAACTTTCTTCAGAAGGTACCCTCTCCTCTCAATTCACTGTTTTGGTTCAAGCATTCATCAACTTTCACCTAATTATTGCAGTAATTCTCCTAAATTCAATATTACTTCCTCCAACCTGCCCTCTGAAATCTTTCTAAAGTGAAACTTGCTGGACATGGTTGGACATGCCTAATCCCAGCACTTCGGAGCCTGTGACAGGAGAGTCACAAGTTTAAGACAAGCCTAGCTACATTGTCAATTTAAGATTATACAGCAAGACCCTGTCTCTAAAAAATAATAATAATAATAATAAAATAATAGAGTGAAATTCTAATGTTACTCTTTTACCTCAAACTCCTTAATGGCTCTACACTGCCAATGGGATAATATGCAAAAACTGCTATTCAAACCTATGAAGCTTTCTGTTTAACCAGGTAGCCTTAGCATAGTACTCCACAGTACCCTATACCCCTGTTATTTACTCCCAGGAACACAGAAACTGTTGTTTTATTCCCTTTACCACTGTTCTCTTATTCCCTTTCCATCCAATACCATCCATAATCACTGTCCTTAATTACTCACATACACACTTACTGACATCCTTCCAGACTTTTTCTACTCATCCTTTAAGACTTTTAAGGGATAGGGGAAATAACTCACTGTGCAGCACATGTCTAGCATCTGTAAGGTCCTAGATTCAATCCCAAACACCACCACCACCTCCCACCCCAAAAAAAGGCTTTTTTTTGTTTTATTTTGTTTTTTTTTTGTCTTTTTCCAGTACCAGGAATCAAACTCATGACCTTGTACTTGCCAAGCAGGCGCTGTGCCGCTGAGCTAAATCCCCAGCCCCCCAAAAAAGACTTTTTAAGATGTTCAGACATATCCTCTTTGGTTTACTCTGACTCACTCAAACAAAACTGATTTATCTCTATTCTATATCATGATCACACATAAACTATGCCTGTACTATTGCACTTTCCATGCTGTTACAAATGTTTTGTATGCATCTGTTTCTTGGCTATAAGACCATAATCCCAAGAACAGAGACTACTCTTAGCTCACTGCAAATACATATCTTTAGGCTGAGAAGGCAACAGATCAATACAATCATGAAATATGCCAGAAATAGCTGGGCTATCTGAAGTGGTAAAATAAGGGTAGAGAATAAAACCTCCTATTGTTCATATGCCTAGGAATAGTTACAGAGATCCAAGGATCTGCTACTGTTTACACAGAAGGGAAGGAGTGTCTTGGTTTGGATACTTTGAAAGAAGATTGTACAGATGGAACAATATTAGCGTTAGTTAACATTGTACTCTAAAATTTCCAAACACAGAATTCTAGCATTGTCATGTTGCATTTATAATACTTTAAACAACTCATGGGAATATGAACTGTGTTCACAATGCTAGCAGCCAATCTATTCCCTCATTCCAGTTAATTATAAGCTATTGAAATAAAAAATTCTCAACAGACATTACAAGGTTAGGAGCTTCTAATATAAACAAACTAAAACTCTATATTCCCCTTCAATTAAAACTGAAGTAAGTGAAGCACTGTGGCTCTGGGACAGGAAAGGTCTGTGTGGAAGCGTGGGCTGGGTGGATGGGGATAGAACTGGTGTTAGTACCCACAAAAATAAGGCAGCAGCAGGGGAGGGGAGGCATACTAAACTTATCTCTTATGATCTAGGGGTTTAAGAAGTTATTAAAATTTTTCACAAGTAAAGCACGCTAATATACTTCAGCTATTAACAAAGTCAATAGCTGGGCGTTACAGCACACACCTGTAGTGTACTTGGGAGGGTGAGGCAGGAGGATGGCCACAAGCTGGAGACTACCCTGGGGAACTTTACAGAATTCAAAACCAATTTGAACTATGTAACAAGAACCTGTCTCCAAAACAAAAGTTAACAGAGCAGACCTAAGACTGGTCCTTGTGGAGCTGGCAAACAGTTACAAAGTGAGTTCAAGACCAGCCTGAAGTAACTAGTGAAACCTCGTCTTTAAAACACCTCAGGAATAAAAATTTAAAAACACACACAAAAAAGTCAATCAAATACTAAGCTTCTGAAAAGATATTCAAAACAAAGTATGAAAGAGCTACACTTGTGATTCTCTATACAGCTGACTATTGAACTTGAAGCCAGAAGACAAAAGAGACAAAAGTCAAAGTGATCCGTAACATCAGCGGGGAAAAAAAGAAAGTATTCTTACATGAAGAAAATGCATGTGATTAAGGCTTTTCCAGGAAAGTCTAAGGGCAGGCGTGATAGTGTACATGCGCCATCCCAGCATTCTGAGAAGACAGGGCAGGAGGATTTCAACTCTAAACCCACTGCTGGCAATTTGGTGACTTGCAAGACCCTGCCTCAAAATAAAAAATTAAAAAACGGTTGAGGATTTAGTTCAGTGAGAATGTCCCAGATTCATCCGCAGGACTGAACTTATTTCCAGTATCAATGAGTTATGAAAAGACACATAAAAAACTGCCCATCAGGAGAGTTCATTAGAGAGCCAAGGGTTTTACTGGGTCTGGATACATTGGTATCCTCTTTCTAACAATACCAAAATCATCGATTCCCCAGAGGAAATCAGGTACTCAGCATAGCTGTCATTAGACCTGCTTACAAGGCTTGCAACCTGACAATTCTATAAAACAGTTCCCTCCACTGACATAAAACTTTCCCTAAATAGTAAAAATGGGTCACTGTGCCTAAACTGTACAAACAATGAGGTTTATGTTGAATACCTGCTTTCTCTCTGCAGATAAAGTTTGTGTACAGGCCCAGCATGGTGTACATGACTGTCACAGCACCTGGGAGGCTGAAGCAGGAGGACTGCAAGTTTGAGACCAGCCTGGGCAACTTTGGAGAACTCAAGGTCAGCCTGAACTACACAGCAAGAACCCATGTCACATACACAAAAAAAAAACCAGTTAAGGGGTTGGGGATTTAGCTCAGCGGCACACAGCACAGCGCCTGCCTGGCAAGCGCGAGGTCATGAGTTCGATTCGTGGTACTGGAAAAAACAAAAACAAAACAAAACCAGTTAAGACAGCTGACTTAAAACTGGACCTTATGGAGCCAGTAAGCAGTAAATTCAGGTAAAAAAATGAGTAAAGAAAGATTAAAAAGGATAAAGAGAAACTAAAAGAAACAGAAAAAGCAATAGTCATCTAGAGATTTAAGGATATTATTAACAAAGCTACACAAAGACTAAGAAAAAACTTATTCTTTGTCCTGCTCAAATAATCTCCCTCAACTAGGAACCCTCTAAGAAATCCAGAAATACGAAGTATTTTGTTCTTTTTACAAAAGGACAAGCAATTAAACACATTTTTCAAGAACAATTCTTCTTCCCCAAAGGTAGAAAGTAGAATAAGAAACTATGCATTTCAATCTTGATTGTTATCACCAAACTAGCTTTTTCACATTTTCAAGTTTAACTTCACCCATCAAGCCACAAACACTTAACAATTCTTTCCAACTGACACAAACCTTACAGAATTAAATACTGTATATCATCCATAATTATGCTACATTAAGCAATTCTATCCCCCTCATCAACACACCAGATACTCCAAAAATAATTTCTCCTTATCTGGACACTTTTTCTTCATTCATCTTCCTAAAGCTATAGTTTAAGACAATGGTGGCAAACCTAGGGCACACATGCCACAATGGACTGTAAGTTATTACTGAAAGCTCTAAAAGGTTCACCACCACTGGTTTAAGCCATCTACTATTTATTTTCTCTATATTTTTTATACTTCTCTCCCAGGTATTATACAACAACTTATCCCAGCTGCTTTTTTCTCATGACAAAACAAATACATAAACTTTTTTTCTCAAAATAATCTCTTGAGGTAAGTATGTCACAAAATAATAATAGTCTCAGTAACTTTTCAAATCAAGAACAATTATCACTTTCACATAAATCTGCTGAAAAATACATTATTCCACCCCCATCTCAAACTAACTGCTAAGTAAATATGTTAAAGGAGAAGCGAGGATAGAGAATGGAGGATTAAGCACGGTTAGAACTTGGAAATAAAAAAAAAGAAGAGCTACAATGAAGGCAGAGAAAATACTGATCTACTCCTAAACGCAGTTAAAATTAGACATAATGCTGGCACAGTGGCCCATAACCATAATTCCAGCTACCTGGGAGGCTGAGATAGGAAGACAGCAAGTTTAAGGCCAGACTGGCCAAATTAGTAAGACTGTCTCAAAATAAAAAAATGAAAAGAGCTGCAACTGGAGATCAGTGGTAGAATACCCTTCCCTTCAATCCTCAGTACCACCAAAAGAAAAAAAAAGTGTCAATAAAACAGTCATTGTGGCACACACCTGTAATCCCAGCGCTTGAGAGGCTGAGATGGGAAGATCATCGCACATTCAAGCCCAGCCTAGGCTACACAGTGAGTTCAAGGCCAACCTAAACTACATAGTAAGACTGTTTCAAAAAAACAAAAAAGAGAAACAGAACAAGTTTGAGTCCCACCCAAAGAACTTAGCAAAAGTTTTTAAAGAGTGGGAATAAAGAGTGCTTGCAGAGCACACATGAGGCCCTAGGTTCAGTCCTCAGTACCAAACGGTTTAAACAAACAAAAAAACCAAAAAACCACCATTCCTATATATGGGGAGGAAGCAGAAATTAGTTGGCAAAAATTATCTTGACCAAGGAGGAACTGATCAGGTAAGAGCATCTCTGCACTGCTACATGATCAAGCCTCCTGTGGATAGATGTCAACCTGGATAAGATTAAAAAGAATTCAGTCTGGCCTATGGTGTAGCTCCAAGGGAGCTACATGCTTAGTATATGCTCAGCATGTACAACACCCTGGAGTCAATCCCTAGCACACCTTCCCCATCAAAACAGAAATCATTCATCCTAATTTTTGAAAATTAGGATAAATTTCCATTAAAAAGATCGAATTCTTTACTCTCATAAAACATGACACGAATCTTATGATATTTAGGCTACTACTGAGTTTATTAATAATCAAAGAATTTTTTGACAAAATAATTTCTGAAACTCTTGATGGAATCTGACTTACAATTTTAGAATTTCACGTTAGCTGCCCTATTTTCCTCCAATGCCAGGAGCTAAGTTGTCCTGGCTGGCCTTGAACTCTCAATCCTCCTGCTTCAGTCTCCCAAGCAGCTGTGATTAAAAAAATGTAACCTACAAACTATCAGTTTTAATTTGTCCTTTCCCCCGCCACAAAAAGCCATTAAAATAAACTATCACATCTGCCTCAAACTGTACTTTGAGACTCGGTTCTCCTTTCCTTCAAATAGCCAAAAGGGTGATGGCCAGAAAACTAGAATTTAGATTATCAGCCATAGACTGTTTTCACTTTATAGACTCCATATCCTATCTTTCTACTGTCAAAGTGTTGTAGAATACTTAAGCTTCCAGTCTTCAAGAGCAGGATACCCACTTTGTGTCAAGAATAAAGCTTAAGCACAGGGGTATGGCTTTGTGGGACTGCTTGCCTAGCATTCATAAAGCCCCAGTACCACACACACAAAAAGAATAAAGCTTGATAAGCTAGTATCTGAATATGATGACTTTTATGTTAGTCTTACTGATCATAAAACATTACAAATTATGCTTAGCCTTATTTCTACTTTACCTGTTTCTCAAGCCTGTTCCATTGCCACAACCCCCACCAACCAAAGTCTGTAAAGAAGGTAAAGCTGAACGGCTTAGCTGCTGCCGACTAGGGCCCCTCCTTCCACCGGGCATGTCCGGGAACCAGTCTGCTTCCAGTGCCACCTGTAGTTGCAACCCAGGTTAATGGCTGTCAAGCTGTTTCAACTCTGAATAACACAAAGAGAAAAACGTAAATACCTGTTAACTATTTGTAAAGTACGCAATGTAAAAAAAAAACAAAAAACAAAAATAGAGAAACTGAGTGAACACACCTTGTGAAACCATATTTTCAAACAAATGCTCCCAAGTGTCTATTATCTAATTTATTCTAATGAAAGGGCTACTCGGATTCTAATGGGCCAGAAGCCTAAGTTCTGATCCAAGCTCTGGGAAGTCACACAATTCAAGTCTTTTGTCAGCTGACGTGTATCATACGCAAGACACTACAATCAGGTGGAAGTTTACACGCAATACCACCAACTTACAGATTTCCAACCTAATATTTCACGTTCAGCCACTTGAAACACAGGAGGATTATCACTGTCCCAAATGTTAGGTTTTGTTATCAAAGGATCTGGATTCAGAGATAAGATGTGTCACATACTATCCGAGTTTGAGGCATTTATCCTCCGCGTTTATTTCTTCACCACGTGAAAGGCGTCTCCTGTTCTACTGAGAATTTTGTCAGGACTAACCAACATGGATGAAAGAGTACGCACAGACCTTTTAACTCTTTAAAACGCTAAGCTGTTTTAAGTGGTCTCTCCGTGTTAGCGTGAAAATTTCGAAAGAAACTCAAATGGAAACTCCAGAAAAACTGATGGAAAATCATGTAGAAATTACTAAAACTGAGACACTAAAAGGCCAGTAGCAGATAACGCTCCTCGCTGAAACAAAGATGTGTCTTCGTCAATCTTGGCAAAAATCATGGTTCCACTACTACGGAAATCAAGTGTTTCCTAAACAATACTGTACAACGCAAAACTGAAGACTCACACGCTGGAAAATCCTGGGTTTTCCAAACGTTACTACGGACTGACTCGACGTTCCCCACGCCTTCAGAAGCTTAGGCTACAGGGTTAAAAAATGCCCGGGGACAAGCCATTCAAACTTGGACGCGGAGGACTCTCTGCCCAAGTAACAAGCAAAGGGAAAGAAAAACGAGGAGCCAAGCACCGGGATGGAGCTGGAGACAGTACGCCACGGGGCGACGCGAACGGCGAAGGGACCACGAACTTCAACAGATTGGGTCCTAAAAAGAGTCGACGAAGCTGCGCCTGCCGCGCACTCTGGAGGGCCGAAGCAGGCCCGGGACGGTCGGACAGCGCAGCCGCAAGCTCATACTCACGCATGGAGGAGGCCCGGCCGGTGGGGCGGGATCCCTAGGAGGCGGCTTGAGAGACCGGACCCCAGGCAACAGACTCCCTCCCCGCGGTAAGGCGCTCCAAAGCAGCGGCCCGTACGCAGGCCGTTCCCGCCCAAGAAGGTGAGAAGTGTGCGGGTTTCAGGCTGCCAACCCCAGACCCTGACCCCAATCCAGTGCCAGAGCCACCGCTAAATCTAAAGGCAGAGCCTGACCCCGTCAGCGCTCATCCTCAGCCTCCATTACTACAGAACTGAGGAGACGTGGCAGCGCACGGCGATGACGTCAGCCGCGCGACCGCCCACCGCCTCAGCCGCCCAAACAGCGAGCGGCCCCCCGGAACTAGACCCTCAGCCATGGGAGCCGGCACGCCCAGCCTCCTGCGTGCACCTGCGCAGTGGGTCGCGGCCGCCGAGCGCACCTGCGCAGTGGGTCCTGGCAGTCGGCTGCTGCTCGCGGTTCCGCCTTCGCGTCCACCTCTGGCTAACGTGTTTCCTCCCCTGGCTGCTCTTAATAGGCATCCTTCTTGCTATGTCACGGACTACAACAGGTAGCTATGTACAACCTCTCGACCCTATTTCACGAATGAGGGGAGAATGGCGTTTAAGAACACAGCTCAGTGAAAGAGCCCAAGTTGTAAAACCATGCTTCAGAATCCAACCCTACCCTTACTGCAAAGGACTAGATGCAAAAATTAAGGCGTAGCTCCACTAGCTCACTGGAAGAAACGCGACACCAGGAAAACACATGCATTATGATTTATGGCAATAAATACAACATTAAAAGTATATCCAACACTGGAAGCACGCTTCTAGTTGCCCAATGAATAGCACTCACTATCCTGTCTCCCCATCGAAAAGTTGGCCCCAGCTTGCCCACTGCCAGAGATCTGCAAGCAGAGTGCCCACAAATTGGAGCGCCCATTTGGATTTTCATCATCAGAATGGCAGCAAAAGAGGCCACAGCAAAAGCTGTGTGTCTTGGTGTTACTCTCTGGCATATGCAAGATACTGGCCATTCATCATCAACCACCAGATCGCCCACAGGAAGGCCATGGGGTCCTATTTCAGTTTCCCATGTTACTTTCCAACTGTAGTTCTACCTCAAAGCTCTTAGGATAAGAAGACTAGACATCCTCGGTACTACTATGACCATCACTGGCAAGGCACACACTACAGTTATTCCCATAGTAGAAGGTCTGGGTAGCCTCCATGTGACAGCAGTAGGGTCCAGTTCTCCACAAGAGAAGACCAAGCTCGGTTAGAAGAGGAGGAGGTTAACACAGTCAGATGAGGAGGTAGGCTATGATCTGAACAATAGAGAAGTCACTGATGAGCTCCACCAGTATTTTGCAGAGACCCAGAGGCCCAGTGAAGAGCAATGGCAGGGACAGCAGCAGGTGGAGGCAGTGTGAGAATGACTGTGTGAATGCAAACCACAACCTGTCCTACAATCGCTTGTACTACAACATGGACAGACAGTAGTGCCCCTGACCAGGGGCCTTCAGAGCTGCATTAGGCTGAAATGAAGCACTTGTATGGGGATAGCACTGCCAAGATCCAGGCTATGGAGGCCACAGTGCAGCTGAGCTTTGACAAGCACCGTGACAGAAAGCAGCCCAAGCACTGGCCTGTCATTCCCCTGAAGTTCTGAGCCCTGGGCACAGGGACCCCAGGGAATGTTTCCTGGGGAGTCCACAGCCTTGCCCACTCCTTCCTTTTGAATACACTCTCTTCATCTCTTCTCCTGTAGGTTTCTCAGGGAAAGAAGCAACAATACTGAGCTATAAATAAGTTTACCGAAGACCCAGTTGGGCCCCTCAGGAGCTATATACTAGTGAACTTTCTGATCACTGGGACAAAATACCTGAGCCCCACTTGGAATTTGGCATGATGTATATACTGTTGTCCAGATAAGAAAGTTTCTCTTAACATAAAATGTCAATGTATAATTCAGTGGAATGTATACCATTTCCTATTTGCTCTGCTAACTTCTTCCTAGCTTGATATACTGCAGCTCCTTTACTACTTTTCTACTGGCTCTCCAGCATCTTTCCTGGCTTAGTTATTTCTTCCTTGCTAGGACAAAATACCTGATGCCCACAAATTAAATACCTGATGCCCACATTTCCTATTTGCTCTGCTAACTTCTTCCTAGCTTGATATACTGCAGCTCCTTCACTACTTTTCTACTGGCTCTCCAGCATCGTTCCTGACTTAGTTATTTCTTTCTTGCTAGGACAAAATACCTGATGCCCACAAATTAAAGGAGGATAGGTTTGTTTCAGCTCACAGTTTGTAGAGATTTCAGACCATAGTCCTCTGGCTTCAAAGCAGAGCAGCATGGCAGAGTGGCACAGAGAAGAAACACACCATGGCAGGACAGACAGGAGGCAGCAACCAGCAATGTCAAGCCTTCTTTTCTCTTTTGTTCTATTCAGGCTACAAGTCTATTGGATTGTGCTACTAATACCCAGAGTGGGCATTCACATTATTCACACACAGAACTATGCTAAACCAATCAGCAAACTAATTTAGTAACTACAACCCTCAATCCATATTCACATACCCTAAATCCAGCCACCCCTGAAAAGCCCCACCTATGAGCACTTGAGGCTTTGGGGAGATGTCTAGATACAAGCCATCACATTTCCTTCTTTCAGCACTTAATTATTTCCTGCCATTGAGTACCAGGGTGTATAATACTCAGAAAGCCAAATACATCCCTCCCCTCCTAAAGGTTATTGAGGAAAACATGTATTTAATATATGACATAATTAGCCAGGCATGGTGGTGCATGCCTGTAATCAAATTTGGCAGGAGGTTTTGGCAAGAGGATTGCTACAAGTTTGAGGCCAGACAGAGATACATAGTGAGTTCAAGGCCAGCCTGGACTATGTAATGAGACCCCATCTCAAAACACTAAAAAGACAATGCTAAAATAAAAGCAGCAAAAGTAGCTGGGCATGGTGGCACACGCCTGTAATCCCAGAACTCAGGAGGCTGAAGCAGGAGGATCACTGTGAGTTCGAGGCCAGCCTGGGCTACAAAGTGAGTTCAAGGCCTGCCTGAACTGCATAGCAAGACCCCGTCTCAAAAAGATGACAACAAAAAAAAGAAGCAGAAGCAGAAGCAGAATCAGCAGCAGCCACCCCTGCTGCCACAGTAGCTCCCACTGCCCAATCAAGAAGAGAATGGAGGGCTGGGGATTTAGCTCAGCGGCAAAGAGCCTGCCTGGCAAGCTCAAGGTCATGAGTTCAGTTCCCGGTACCGGAGAAAAACCAAAAAAAAAAAAAAAAAGAGAATGGAGATGAAAAAGATGAGAGTCCTATCAGACAACACTGCCTTGTGGTCACTCGCTGCATGGCCAATGGAAAGCCTGGTGACCCAAAGTCAGTGCTTCACAGAGGTCCTCTAGGATCTAGGGGACCAGTGATTGTGCAACTCCTAAGTATCCCACCTTCTCCCAAAGTAAGGGGCCTATTTTGGGGAAACCTTGGCTCCAGGTCTAGAATATGTGGTTGTGGTTGGTATGTGTTTGGAGGGGTCAGTGCTGAATCTCCCTCTCTGGGGAGAGACCACAGGATTTCTCCCAGAAAAGCTTTCACAAAGAGCAGAGAAACCCTCAAAGTCTCAAAAACTGGTCTCTTTATCAACAATATCTGCTCAACATCTGTATGTCAAATTTCTTTTGCCTCACTTAGGAAGTTTTCTGACATTAATTTGGGAACAGGATTTTCAATGTCTTGCACTTCTGTTTTCTGTTCATTCAAATCAGTCTTATGTTATTCTTCTTTGCATCATCTAGCAGCTGTTGGATTGATTTTTTGTGGTTCCTTGCTATGTTTAAGAAATCTTTCTTTTCATGATTGCTAACCACAATCCTGTCTTCTACATCTGATATTCTGTCCTCATATTGGTTCATTTTGCTATGTATACTTTCAACGGAATTTCAAATTTCCTGGATATCTGTTTGTATCTGTTTCATGGATTCCATTCCTTTCCTATGTTAGACATTCATGGTTTCCATAATTTGCCTAAGGATTTTTTTTTTTATCTTTATGTGCTCTCGACTCATTAACCATGTCCTTCATTATGGTGTCCATCTGTGAATTATCTGAGAAATTATTTCTGAATTGACTTTTTTGTAGTGCCTCATTCATCTGCTTTGTAACTTTTGCTGTTACCACTTCAGAGAGTCCAGGTGGATGGTTTTCGTATTGTTCCCTTCATTGCCCCCTGGGTTTATCTGTGGTGAGCTGGAAGTCTGGGGTTGCATTTTGCTTCTGTGTCTTCTCATTTTGTTTTTTTTAGTTTAAATTCTGGGTTAATGTTTGTAAATTGCTTATAGCTTCATTGCTAGTATTAAGAAGCCTTATGAAATTACTCTGACTATTTTTCAGAGATGTGTTGCAAGTGTAGCTGGCATTTGGATTTTGAGTCTGTTGCAAGATCCTACCTCTTCAATTTATTGGGCATAAGAAAATGCTGCCTATTTGGTCTACCCGCTTTCTTTGGCACTGGCCTATAGTATTGTTTATGACACTCAGGAAATCTCAGTCTTGACATACCAGTAAGAACAATTAATTAGAACAATTATATCACCATGGCTAAAGTAGTACAACAAGTAATAACAATAGCATCAAATACAGCCTAGAAAATGGCAAAAGAATTTGACATAGATAAGTAAAGCATATAGGACTCAAATTAGTTATGATCAAAAGAAAAACTCCACAAAGGCATATAATATTCGAGATTCCAGAAATTCAACACAAGACCAGAATATTAAAAGAAAAGAAACAAATCACCTATAAAGCGAAGCCCATCAGAATCACAGTAGACTTCTCAACACAAATCCTTAACACAAGGAGAACTTGTGAAGTATTTCAAGTCCTACAAGAAAACAACCTCCAGCCCAGACGGACATACACTACAGA